TAACGTATAATAACAACTCAGAGGTGAGTGATACAGACGAAACTAAACAATATTCATTGCATGTTTAGGTTTAAAATATGGATCTGATTTTAGTGCATTTCAGACAAGCTTAAACTCTACTATGGCAGAAACGCACTTGAGGGGAATGTGACGACCACTTTATTTTCCATGCGAAACTTCCCTTTTCTCTGTATTTTGATAAATTACCAAGATTGCTTTAGTTATTGACACAATTATACCTAGATAATGTCAAATCCTAAAAAATAATAATAAATAGGCCTTATCATCATCATCTGCAAGCTGATGTAGACAAATTAATTGGAACATCTTAATGTGGGTTTTGAAATTAATTATAAAAAACGGAGCGCTTACATACATCGAACATGTAAATAAACACCAGGACAGCAATCTTAGAGCAAGCATTCAACACCTATACTAACAAAAACATCTAGGAGTGATAGTCATTATCAGGAAATAATCATGAAGTAGCTGATGAAGAACTTTAAGTAATATATACACTACGTCAAGCTTGCTGATTCTACGATTAGTCTAAGTTTTGAACACCTCATCCCGCCTTTGTGGGAAACACCAAAGCGCATAGTCCGTATCACATTAAGGATGCTAACACAACTGTCCATGTCCGAAGAATGTGAAATGAAAAAGATGATGGCTTATTCAAACTCTACAACAAGGAAATAGAACTCAAACCGTTTCACTTTTTATCTTTAAGATTCTGCAACTAAACCAGTGTCCTCGGTGTATTCTTGATATGTTCTTTTCCTCAATTTAAGAGCAATCACCTTTAAATACATAGCTTGGAGGTTTAAAAGCCTCAATTTGATAAACTCGGTGTACGATTCCGTTCTAGCAATCTAGTGGTCAATTAGTGAAAATCCTTAGACGAACAAGTGGTATCAGCAACTGTGGTAGTAATCTGAAATGTCAGCTTAATTAATGAAAACTAAAGTTAATCAAATCCTTATGAGGAGTGGACAGATCAGAATAAGCAGATTTATGTGTTTAGGAAGTTTTGAAGTCATTTGCATGTAAGTTCTGCTTCAGAAACCGTATTTTATAAAATTGACTTATAGTAATTGTTGTTATTATTATTAATATTATTATTCACAAACATCTTACGGATACATAAGTGTTGGGTCGCGCTTCCAACACTAACTAGAAACATCTAGTTCTCCACGATCACGTCTGAATGTTTAAACACTTCCGATGATACAGACTGTGCCTACATCCTTTTCATAAAAAACCACCATGACGAATCTGAAAACCGTTGTGGCGGTAGACAAATCTCCGTAATCACTAGCTCCGTAATACTACGAATTTTGGTGCTTACTGTATTAGTTTTAATGGACTCACCTAGCTTAAGGCGCTCAGTTATGAATTCGCAGCAGATCACGAGTGAGTACGCCTCGCTTCATTACTTTACAAGCGCTAGTTAGCTTAGATTGATAGCTTCTCAATATATTGATAGCCAATCAGATATATCTTCGTGCTTTCTTGCTTCTGACTTCCGATTTCGCTTCGTTGGCACGTTTTGATTATCGAAGGTGCTACTAGTTAAGGTGTTGTGGAACTCCGAATATTCGTTCCATTTTTGAAGTAATCATACTGCAATTAACTCACTAATACGTACGTTTGGCTGCCTCAATCGGCTGTTCTCTACTTTTTTAGTTGAATTTGAACATACACACATCCATTTTTTTCGCAAACACAATACGTTTGGATAAGTTACTGGATCCACATGAATGAAATAATGACTCCTTTGTACTCGTTGAATGGCTGATTTCGAATTCTAAATACAGTACATTCGTTCATGCTTATATAGTAGTTCTTGATCCAATTACGTTATTTCTGGGATTATTAGTTCTTACCATAATTCAAATACTTCTAATTATCAAATCATCATCTTGATCTAAATGAAAAAGTAAATATCCAGTGAAAACGTTCATTTCTAAAAATCCAAACAATGAAACTGCTATCATGAAAAACATCTATGACAAAAGGATTTCTGTCTTTCTCTGTATACTTGAATGATCGAAAATCTAAACCGGTCAGATAGGATAAAATCACGTCCCTCAACCTTACCTTATTTCTCAGTTACTTCTAATGCCAAAACCATGATCACATAATTGTATATCACTAGCGTCAACCACTCAGGGCCAGTTGTTCTCTAGTCTCAATTGACAGCAGGTTTTTCAAATTATTCATGTATATGCAGACTTAGGTCTATCTGATAATACGGTGGCCTTTGTTAAATGGTCCAGCTATTACCTGAAGTGTTATGACCACCAGTTCGATCTTCTAGACTAGGTGTGTAAAACGTTCACTACGTTTCCCATAACTGTTTCGACAAGAATTGGCCATTTCTCCTGTTTTCTTGATTAGGCGGGATATGTACCTAACATTATCTACCAACGCCTATTTTTGAATCTCTTTTACCTGTGTTGCTCATCACTGCTAATGACCATTCCCTGTGCTTTTAGTCAGTTTACATTAAGTTTCCATCGTCTGTTATTGTGTCTGAAGCATGACAGGATGAGCTTCTCAGTGATGTAGTTGCTGGAAAAAGTTTGTTGTATGAATTTCTTATGTAAATACAGGTTTTTATGTATATGCTAGGTAAAATAAATTATCGGTGTTCACATATTACTTATTAGATGTTTCAAAAGTAACAACTAAAGCAATTAGTACATCTAATAAAAGAGTAGGATCGCGTTTTTATAAAACGTTCGTCATGTAGGGCCAGTGAAATTCCACTGAGCCCTAGTCAAATCATCCGGCGGTTGGGTCATTGAATATCGAACAAATCATCGATCCTCGTCAAGGTCAAGGACAACCAACGCGCATCAGTTGATCGTACGCCATGGACTGGCCTATGCGGCAGTGGTCTCACCTTCGTTTGTATTCACTTTAACTAATATATTTCTGTAATAACGTCTTTTGTGTTGTACAGTCTTCAAAGCATCTATAGTACCTTGATACGTCAATGGGGTAGTCCACGTGAGGTGCTGACCGTAAAGTGTGACTTCGACGTTGGCTAGTTTTTCACACCGTTCACGTCTAACTCGAGTAAGCCTCCAATCATTTCGACATAGATCATCTACGTCGATGATTTACACTTCCATAGCACATATCCATGATCACTATTATTTTTCTTCTTCAAAAGTTCGAGTGCTTCTTCCTTTAATTGTTTCACTTTCTACTTTCTAATCTAATTATTAGCATTCACAGAAATAGAGCTGCAACCAGTACTCACATAATGACTATAAAAACGATTAGAAGAGGCAGAGATCTAAATTCAGTGGTTAATTATAAGTCCAAAAATCTCTCTTTTTTAGCAACAGGACAGTGTAAAAAGACGCATCAATGGACTTCATGAAGCTTAAGTTTTCGGCTCCATTGTAAGCAATCGTATTGATCATTACCAGTGTATCTAGATCGTCTAACACATGTTCAAACTGACACGGGACTATGGGAGCCCCAAACCGAGTTCATACACGAATGAACTCACCACCTGTAGCGAAAACCTCGGGATCTGCTCAGAGTGAGGAGCAGTGGGTAAGTGTTGGGAAGGGAATTTGAAAACCTTAACCTCTAAAATGTTGAAAATTTGTAACAAAGCCATCTGACAGAAATCCCTTTTTTATTTAGTGTCTTAGCTTTGGAGAGTAGAATTAGGAAAGCCTTTGATGAAGAGCAGTGGGACAAACTTGACAGCACCTTGAAAAACCGTAAAACTTCGGTCAAACTTTACCGCCTTTATTGGGGCCAGAACATAGTAGGAGGTAAATTCCTTCATTTAAGGGTAACATTCGATTCAGTTAACGTCACAGCTACATACCACAATCATTAGATCTCTGAGTCTGATGGCTGTGAACTTCAGAAATCGAGAGGAATTAACGGTTATTCAGGCCAACTGCATTTCGAAAAACGACCTGTTTAGTTACAGATGTCGTGAGCTCCGACCTTGAGTGATGTGGTGACAGCAAAGTAGTAGAGTGAAACACAACTTCGACAGAGATCAGAAACGCACGGTACAGAACACAGAGACCTTATTCTTGCTGATGGGACACTCTATAATGCCGTATGTACGCATTGATGGGATTCCGTCTCTTACTTTAACCAATCGCGTCTGATTCGTAGCACATTTTTCATCACGATTGCTATTTCTGCACATCAGTTGATACATCCTATGTCTCTTATCATCATCGTTTTTCCGTTCCTATACTTTCAATCCCGTCTTCTTTCTTGTTAACAATTCAATAACTTAAAGATTCCACTCAAATTTGTGGTCTGACAATGACTTTGTCCGTAAAACCTCGTTATTCTAAGGACAACAACACAGGCGAATGAGAAGCCAGAAGTGGATGAGGTATGTTCGTTAGCATATCGATGTGTTGAAACTGGTTTGGTCGAACCTGGCTAGTAGTCGTAGGAGATACATAGCACGGAGTACAAACTCACGATTTGGTGCGGATGTGCGACTAAGACTATCCAGCTAGGATGTGTTCAGTACAACTAACAAGATCAGCATCACTGTCGAAAACTTGAAGATCTATTTATTTTGTGCGTATATTTACCTTCTATAACTCATTATTCTTAAATCAGTCGTCTTCTCTTAGCACTCGAATTACCACTTTACTGCTCTCACATGCAACACACCAATCTACAGTATGATAATGCTATAGATACGGGTGCCTGGAAACCCTACTGTCTTGAGGGAAACGCACCCAGTAAAATTACGAGATGTACAAATCCAGATAAACTGCCAAATTGAGTAAAATTAGTGCACTTGAGTGATTGCACTGAGATCCATTGAACATTATTAATTACCTGAAATCGCAGCGAGGCAATAAGGAATAAGCGAAAAGAAATCAACAGGTTTATGCAAGCTCGTGGCAAAATAATTGGATGTGTAATGCGTTAGTTTGTTAAAATGTATTGTCAAAAACTTAAAGTAATTGGCTCTATTACTAATGTTTTCAGATGTGGTAATGTTTGTTCGCTGTATTCGTGTTGTGTCTGAAATGTACGTGTGGTAGAAATGTTTAAAACTTTTATAGCATGCGAGGTGAGGGCACCATTTCTGGGTGCTTTTCGGTTTTCGGTGGATATTTAATTCACTTGACCTATGGTTATTTGTACTCTTTAAGTAAGTTGACCTCGGAACTTCATAACCTTTGTTTTATCAGCAAATATGGTACCATACATAATGGGATACCTGATAACTTTTATTAACCCAAATCTTTGCGTCCAAACATCCGTTTGGTTTTCTGCAGTTTCCTTTGCTGTTTACGGCATTTTTATGCCACTTGGTGGATTTCTGTCGCGTAAAATTGGTTATCGACCGGTAATAGTTCTCAGTTGTTTTTTTCTCAGGTATTAAACGTTTAAAGTAGGTATATGCATTTGATTAATATTGAGAACATCGAAAATGTATCAAGTCATACACCTCTTATTTATTGTAACAATGGATATCAAAACGTTCATATAATAACAAAAACTACTTAAAATATCTCACAAACCCCCATCAAACAAATTACGGAAGCCATCTTACAGGAGCAGAATTAATCCAAGTTTAGTTAAGCGAAATGATCTTCATTATAAAACGAAAATGATGTTGACATTCAAAATGTATTTTAAGGAAAAATCGTGACACCTTTTCTTGCTTGCCATAAAAAGTATGAAAATATTTAATGATTATACATGTAAACATATGTTCATTCACTATTTTAACGACTTACTGGTCTTATGCCACAAACGTTCTTCGAAGCAAATCTCAGTTATACAATTCTGGTCAGTAAAATTAATATTATGTGTGCCAGTTGGAACAACGGTATTTCCGAGATGCTCCGGGGTAGCGACCGTATTGGATTTAACATGTGAATTTCCAACTTCAGAAACTTATCACCATGTATTCTAGTATTCACGACTGTATCAGGACTAAGGATAGTAAGCACAGCTAAATAGTTGAGATATATTTTATTGAAGTTGGACCATTGAATGCATACAATACGATTATTATATTTAAGAACAGCATTAGTGGCAGCACTAAATACAAGGACTTCCGTAGTTTACTAAAACTTTATTGACTGACTTTGAATTAGGCTTAAACATCTTACTGTCTAAAAAAAACTATCGACAATCGAAATTGAAACAGACCTGTCTAGGTCTTATAATTGTATCTGATCCATTATGATAACTAGAAGTAGTCTAAACTCCCAGAATTGTTTAGTTTAAGACAGATAGAACAATATGGGCACAAATCAAACTGTTAATCACATTTAAAGAACTCCGGATTCAAAATGAGTTATTTAAACGTGTAGACGGTTAAATCATCAGACCATTAAACACTGTTCTACTGAAATGTGAAGTGTAATATTTGGTATTACATGCAATTGACTATGAGGTTTTTCTTTATATTTACATTTGGTGGGTTGTTTCGGCAAATTAAAAATAAAGTTCTTGACCTTCTGTATAAGTCTGACTGTTTCATTAAATTTTGCCTTTTTATGGAGTTTGCAGTTTGTTCATTTAACGTGATTTAATTCAAAACATCATGAGTGTTGAACATATTATGCAAACTAGTATTCCATAAAACCAACCAGTATATAAAACTGGAGCCGGACTAAATGCACAAAAAACAGCAAATTTCCTAAGGTGTATTGAAATGAGCATTGTACGGTAAAGGGCACACAAGTCGACCATTAATGTTTGCAAAAAACATAGTTGCTTTGGGTTTAGAATAACTTATTGGGAAACGTGCGTTAGGATTTTTTGTATGCTGGTACCTAACATGCCATATGATAAAACCATATATTATACACGTAAAATGTCGACTATAACTGTTATAATATTGGCTGATTACTTTGATCAGTAGTCTCCATCGACTGAAGCTGAATGTCTGTTTTATGGTATGATTGATTAACGTACGTAGTCGTACGTTAAAGTCACACTATATGATGAGTGCCTACTTTACTCCATAATAAATAATGGTCAAGATGTCCCAATTGTATAGAAAAGTTAGAAACCAGATATATTGTTACTGTCTGCTGATACCAATAAGGCGCACTGCATTATACCCATCAAAAATACACTTTTTCTTACATCTACAGTTTTTTGTTTGTTTCATTAAAAATACTTTGTATATTTTAATCGAAACGAACTAGCACTCAGAAAGAATAAGTCATAATAAAAACCTATGACACTTCATAGTTTTATCTTAATAAATTAATCCGGAAGGATGTTATCATTGATGAAATCAGACGCTGACAGGTATCATAGTTACCCCTCCTCTTACATTCATACAAAAATATACTGGTGTAGATTCTGCTTAAGTTTATTCAAAAGAACGAACTATCTATGAAATACGATCAAATGTAAGTTTCATTCTGTATGCATTGTAACAACATTGATAGATTAAAGATTTTATTGCTCGCCATTTTGATCTATTTTATTTTAACTATTGCTTTTTTACCTCCAAACGTTTATTAAAACGACTCAAATAAATTGTAAGACCAGGTTTGTAATTGTCTATCAAACTGTGTCATAAATGCTCGTGAAGTTTTAATAAAGTTCTTTTTATCCTCTTAATTCTGTCATATTTTCAATGCTTTTTATGTTACTTTCTGTATAGGGTCATGTGAGTTTATCAGAATCTTCATAAGGCTTAAATATTTCAGTGCTTGCCTCAATGCAGTTTATTTCGTAAATCTCTTTTTACTTCATGAACGTCAATATATACATGTCCTAGGTTAAATGTACTAATCACTCCGAGCAAACCCGGTCATAATTTCATAAACGTTTTAAACTTATATTTCAGTATCCGTTTATTAAAAATACTCAGCATAGAGATATACTGACATACAGTAATTAAACATCAATATTACCAACATAGGAACTCTAAAAACTGTTGATCGCATTAATATTAGTATAAGAAATATCATTTCTTGGTTGTAGAGAGCAATCCGTAAACAAGAAATTTAAATGGGATTTTACTCTGTTATACAACAAGAAATATATTAGTAAGTATAACTACTCAGATATGATAAAGATAGTACGAGGTGTATCAATCTATGACTTTGGTAGCTGACCATGTACTTGAGTATATCAGCCACTTATGATTACCATTAATTTATTGAACAAAAAGGTGAAACAGAAATCGCCAAATTATACTCAAGATTCAATAGTATTTTTGTGGAGATGTAATAAGTTTATCCAGAATAATCGCCGTTCACTTATTTGTACGCGGTTATCAGTCAAATCGTTAATATACGGAACTTGAATTGATCTTGTTAATTAAGGATTTGTAAATCTCACACTTTTTTAGATAGGCTATATATCGATATATTACATTATGAAATTACTTCACGATGGACAAAAGTCGTCCAATTCTTCAAACACAATTTTCATATGAGCAATCATTTAGTCAAAAGTATTCACTGACGATATCCATTAGCTGAAATGACTGGTCTTTGTAGGGTTACCTAGAACTTTTTTAACCACTAAAAGTCAGCCAAATAGACTAGACCTTTCTATCCCATAGAAAAAGCTATAAGTTATATAAAACGTAAAGTTATCAAGAGCGTTACTTAGTAAACATCTACTTTAGTACATGGAAGCATCTGTTCCAAAAACTTAGAATGTTATTTTAAAACATTAAAATGAATAAAAGACGGATTTTATAGATATTCGTGTTAAACCAATGTGGTCTGTTGCTACTATTGCATGAGCCAAAAACTTCCAAAATTAAACATTTGTGGTGTGAAAGGTGAAAGTAGATTTCTAAGATTGAGAAGACGGGTTTTTCAAAAACTCAATGGTTGGACTGTTACTATTCCTATTTCATAGGAAAACGCTACTGTACTGTAACAAAATTCCATCAACCCATGTATTGTATCTTTTTTAGTCGGATATCAAGGCAAAAATGTCTTGAAAATCTCAATTTTGCGAGTATTGATATTCTCAACTTTTAGGATTTAGCAAAGTGGTCAAAATTCTGGTGAGGAAAAAATAGATATTAAAGAGCTCAAAACCTGAGATAGAATGTTCATAGTTTTTATTCCAATGGATTGGTCTTGAGACTTCATTAGCCAAATATCTTCGTGGAAAATCTAATGCAAACAAATGACGACATTGATAGTTAATGACACAACGTTATGCATCAGGCATGTTGATGATATGATACGAATACCCGATCGGGATGATATATTTATCGAAAAGAATGATGAATTGAGCTATACTTGAAACTCAATAGCTTCTGCTCAGAACGCTATTGGACCTTTTACATAGATTATGTTCAGAGAATAAGACCAAGGAGAAATTAATCGTAACTAAGGGTAATTTATGAAATAACCGTAATCTGCCCAGAATTCAATACTCAACATGAAAAGATCAGGATGAAAGATATGGAATATGCTATTGTTTTTCTATGAGTGATGAAATAGCCAAAAGATTAAATGCCGGTCTAAAAAGAATGTGCTCACCCTCTAAATTGATGTCTCTTAAACAAATTCTTAATTGCGACATATTTCAGCATTTTATCTTTAACTGTGTCTAGCAGTCTACATACGTTTGAAGTAGATTAAAAAGGATTAGCACCCACGTCTATAGACACATTACACGATGTCTAAGACTAAGAAAATACAATTTTTTGGACATTGGACATGATCCTGATATTTCAAATGTCTTAAAGATAATTAACTATGACATACATCTTCGACTTCCATGCTCTTCTCGGTTTCCTCATATAATTAATCTGTGAATTGTTAACCGTAAGAATAACATCTTATTTCTTCTGCAGTTATTGTCCCTTAATAATCGATATCTATATGTCAAATTGAACTTAATCAGAACTTTTCTGACAGTAACATGTGTATTCTAGTTTGGTTTTAATGATTAATGTTGCTGCTTCTAAGTTGTATGTAGCTGGACAGTATTCACGAAACAAGCAAGTTCATACTTTTCTGATACTATCGTTTTTATTCAAATAATTACTTGAAGTAAGCCTTGGCTATACGGAAAGTGAAAACCCCTTTATGTGTTCAAAAACAATTTCTCCTTACACTTAACCTATCCTGTTAATACTGATTTATCATCCAGAGTGGTAATCACATTGTTTTTGTGTACTTTATTTTTCTTTGTTACAACTTACCTTTAATCTGTTTAGTTGAACATTTAGTCTTCATATACAAATGTCTTAACAAGTATATGTGTGATCAGATTGTTCGAAATGTTTCGCGCAAATATATCACATAATCCTGATAAACTTCGTCTTCTCATTGCATTATCGAAATACTTAAAGCACAAAAATTTCGCCCTTTTCTCCCGTGTTACAAAACAGATAGATTTGACAGTAACTCTCCTCAGTCATTTATCCATGTTTATATTTTCACAAATGTTTTAACCAAGGAGGATTGAAAGCTTGATTCACCGTCTATCTCATACAAAACAATAATCTAATGTTTGTGGAATTTAATCTTTTTTTTCTGTTTCAGTGGTGGTGTCCTATTGTCTTACTTTACGATACAAAAGATGTACGTTGGAGTTATTTTGACCTATTCTTTCCTGTTTGGCACAGGTGTTGGATTAGGATTTTCAGTAACTTTGGCCGTTGCTGCAACAGTAAAATATTTGCAATTTTTATATTTAAACAGTTTTGAAACTATGATTATTATAAACTTATTAAAAAGGATTTATATTATGTTTATTATTTTTAGTGCAATACCATGGTCAGTTTGTATTCACGAAGATAAATAGCAATTTGTAAAAGAGTTCAACTTACTTTTTTACTTAATTACTTACGCCTGTTACTCCCAATAGAGCATAGGCCGCCGACCAGCATTCTCCAACCCACTCTGTCCAGGGCCTTCTTTTCTAGTTCCATCCAATTCTTGTTCATTTTCCTCATGTCTATCTCTATTTCCCGGCGTAATGTGTTCTTTGGTCTTCCTCTTCTCCTTCGGCCTTGAGGATTCCATGTGAGGGCTTGTCTTGTGACACAGTCGAGTGCTTTCCTCAATGTGTGTCCTATCCATTTCCAGCGCTTCTTTCTGATTTATTCCTCCGCTGGGATCTGGTTTGTTCTATCCCACAGTAGATTGTTGCTAATAGTGTCCGGCCAACGGATCCGAAGTATTTTACGTAGACAACTGTTAATAGACACCTGTATCTTCTGGATGATAGATTTCGTAGTTTTCCAGGTCACCGCCCTATTCAGTAGAACTGTCTTGACATTTGTGTTGAAAATTCTGACTTTGGTGTTGGTTGACAAACAGTTGTTTTGAGTTCCAGACGTTCTTCAGTTGTAAATATGCTGCTCTTGCTTTGCCAATCCGTGCCTTCACATCTGCATCAGATCCACCGTGTTCATCGATGATGCTGCCCAAATATGTAAAGGTTTTTACATCTTCCGAAGCTTCTCCGTCAATTGTGATTGGATTGTTGCATGCTGTGTTGTATCGGAGAATCTTACTTTTCCCTTTGTGTATATTGAGACCTATTGCTGCTACACTGGTCGTCTTCTCCTGCATTTGTCGTTGCGTATGCGACAGAAGAGCCAGATCATCTGCGAAGTCTAGATCATCCAATTGCATCCTAGATGTCCAGTGTGTCCCGTGATTCTTTTCAGATGTTGACGTCTTCATGATCCAGTCGACCACCAGGAGAAAGAGAAACGGTGAGAGTAAGCAACCTTGCCTAACACCGGTCTTTACTTCGAAGGAGTTTGTCAACTGTCTTTCATGAACGATTTTGCAGTTTAATCCATCGTAGGAATTCCGTGTGATATTGACTATCTTCTGAGGCACGCAGTAGTGTCGAAGAATAATTTTTTCTGGTGAGCGTTTTTTAGCGAGTTAGTTTTCTACGGGATGGGGTCGCTAACCCCATGCCCAACCCTCCTCCTTTATCAGGGCTTGGGACCGGCACTAGTCCCCGGAAAGGGGCTCCAGGCGGAGTTGTGTCGAAGAAGCTTCCATAATGTTGTTCTGTCCACTCTATCAAATGCTTAGTCGTAGTCAATGAAGTTGAATTCCATTCAGTTGATTGTTCCACAATGATCCGTAGAGTTGCGATTTGATCTGTACACGATCTATCCTTACGGAGTCCTGCCTGTTGGTCGCGAAGTTGTGCGTCTACGGAGTCCTTCATCCTATGTTAACAATACCCTGTTGAAGACTTTTCCTGATATCGAGAGAAGAGTGATTCCTCTGTAGTTGTCATAGTTGCTGAGATCGCCTTTCTTTGGTATTTTGATCAGAAGTCCTTTCCAGTCTGTTGGTACTTGTTCCTCATCCCAAGTCTTTATGAAGAGAATGTGGAGTATCCTAGCAGTTACCACCACGTCTGCTTTCAGTGCCTCTGCTGGAATGTTGTCTGGTCCTGCTGCTTTGCCACTCTTGATTTATCTGATATCCATGCTGATCTCTTCAAATGTTGGTGGGCCAACATCGATTGGGAGGTCGACTGGTATTGATTGCTGCCTTCTTGTTCCTCCTTTCTTGAATCTTATCCAGTATACCGATCGTGATCCAATCCTTGTGATGGTGCTTCTTTTGACCCAGAACCTCATGACATGTTGAAGCGATTGCCTCTTTTATCTCTTTCCAGTTGCTCTCCATCGTAGTTCCTTCTCCATTGAGTGGATCATGAAAGGCCTGGAACTTATTGCTAAGAGCTATCTTGAATTCGTTGAGTTTGTCAGTATCCCAAAGAAGAGCCGTATTAAACTTTTGGGATATTGTCCGCCCCGTTGTGCAGTGCTTCTTGAGTTTCAATTTCATCTTGGCGACCAGCAGATGATGATCTGATGCTATATCAGCTCCTCTCTTGGTTCTCACGTCCTCCTGAACTTTTTGTTGATGCAGATATGGTCGATTTGGTTCTGTGATCCGGTGAAGTCCATGTGGTTTTGTGTATGCGTTTATGTGGGGATATAGTGCCGCCCCTGAAGCTAGTCGTTTTGGTCCAACTTGCGTCCGATGCGTTTCACTGATTCTAAGCAGCTCTAGGTTGTATCTCCTCATTTCTGCAGCAATTTGGAAAACTCTTCCAGTCTCCCACATTGTACGAGCACTCCATGTACCTAAATAAATGGTTGCTCTGGTTGTCAGAAGGGGCATCGGCCTCGTGACTTCCGAAGGATGTCGGCTTTCATCATGAGGCGTCATAATTCTTCCAAACGAAGACCTCCTGACTCCCAAGGCAGAGTTTAAATGGTTTGAATATTTTTTTCTGGTCAGCGTTTTTTGGCGAGTTAGTTTTCTACGGGATGCGGTCGTTAACCCCATGCCCAACTCTCCTCCTTTATCCGGGCTTGGGACCGGCAGAAGCCCCCGGAGGGACTCCAGGCGGAGTTAAAGGAGTTAAAACTCCCCAAAATATCTAAGAGTTATTAAATTAAGTAATCAGTAATCCAATGTATCATCGCACGTTTAGAATAATTCCATACAAATAACTCCTTCCCTCTACAGATGGTTATACATTTCAATATAAACCTTTAAACCGAAGAAGTGCTGTATCATCTATTACATAGTTCGGATCACTAAATAGCACTTAGCTGCGTTCCGAATTTTTGTTTTCATCAAAATGATCTCATGCAACAAAAGAAGACATATCTCTTAACTTTTACAGAAATTATCAAATTTTTTAAAAAATCAGCTTTAAAAATTTTTAATAAAAGTTAAGTGTTATTGGTATGCACGAAAGAAATTATTTAATCCCCAGATTTAATTAATCTTAAGCTGAATAATTTACTAGTAATATTTTTACATATAACAATGAAACGTATCTCCATAGGAATGGTAGGCACCTATCCTTATACCCAAATGCGATAATGACCCTCCAAAAACAGTCAAGACGTTCATCTATTTGGATGGTGATATAAGCTCTGGTGATGATGTAGCAGTTAAAATAAAAATTCTTTTGGTGAAAACCAAGGTAAATCATCCGCATTTAGTGCAATAATGATCAAATTTTGATTGTAAAATTTTAAGAAAACAACGCATCTGATCTCACGACGTTAGTTGTCTCCTTGTCTAATCATTACTTTCTCAAACATTTCGTTTGAATCCAGTGACAATATTGTGTAGAAAATACTAATATCAGATAAAGTATTCATGGATAGTGGAAACAATTGTTCAATAGTATTTATTTCCTTGAAATGTGGACTCCATTAAATGCTAAAAATAGAGAAGGGGTTAGTTTAGGATTTGTTGCCACAAAACGATATATAATTGTGTCTCATTTGGATCAATTATTTAGAAGCTCTTATAGGTCATCCTGTAATTTCCTGTTGGAATGTATCACCTTAAGTTTTTGTTTCATTGAACATTTTCTAAATGAACGGAATCTGTAATGTTTGCATTCCTTAATGCATATTGTTCTTGCTTCCAGCTAATAAATTAAAGATAATGCTGCTTTAGTTTCTTAACAATATTTCGTATAGTGAGATAGCACACTTTATGTCCCGTTGTATCATACCTTCTATTGTAGATAATTAAACTTTAAAACTAATTAACCAATTCCGAAAATGGGTTTTGCTTGGCTGCATCCATCTTTATTAATTTCCTGGCATTGAAAAAGTGATTGTTTATCAATAATATATGTATGTGTTCGAATTAAAATAATAACTCCTTTGCTGTTCCTTTTGAACACTTCATTCAGGGCTTTTTCCCAGATAACCAAATACAATTTTTTATGTATAAATAATCTCATAACATTAAAATAAGCCTTAGTTTCGTGTTGTATAATAATGATTCCGCTTCTTTCTCTTTCTAGTGGTTTCCTGAACATAGAGGCCTTGTCGTTGGACTAGTGGTTAGTGGATATGGTATGGGATCACTGGTGTTCAGTCCTATCCAAACATTTTTGATAAACCCAAACAATGTCCCAGTTAATAATGTGACAAGGTAACAAAACGATCAAAGTATTCGCATTTCTCAATTCTAATGAGTAGATGCACAAATAATGTCTTATTCTGGCGAAAAATAATCACAGTGCGTTCAGTCTACGTAGAATAGGGCGCGATTAGATAAAAAGAAAATTCGATGGTATTAAAAATGGAATACTTATTTAGAGATCAGTGCGACGAAAAAGCATAAGGAAAAACTTGGTCAATGACCAGACTAGATATTATATCCTTTCGAAGACAGTCAAAATATTAACCCCATTCGTCCTTAGAACAGAATCACAAATAAATTCTCAGCTATTAAGGGATAAGGGAAAATACTTGAAGTAGTAATTTCTCTAATAAATGCTTTTATTTACATCATTTCAATTCGAAATTTTAAAATGTTTAGCCTCCATACTACCTAGAAATTTTATTCAAAAATGTCACATCTGTTGTCTTTTAATACAGTTTTATATATACCACTAATTGGTTTAAAATTAAAGATAAGAATTTTTTTAGACTGAACAATATTATTTGGTTTAACATGGAAATGAAATGCTACCTAATAAAGATTAATTTGTGATAAAGTATATTTTTACTATTTCCGTAATTTTTCATTTCTAATTATCTCTATTCTTTAGACAGTTTGATGATCCTGAAGTACTTAACAGACTACCACATGTATTTCTTGTTATTGGGGTTATTCTATCAGTTACTCAGATCATTGGTCTGATCTTGCTGCGTTCAAAGCCTAAATCGAATGCTGTAAGCTTTTAATTAAAATAAATTATTGTTTGGTAGCTGTCTCAAACTTTTAAAACGATTCAGTTTGGCATAAAAATGGTTTTTTTTGCTGGAAGTAGTATAAGCTTAAGAAAATTTTTTTATACTGGTAAAAATTTACAAGTGGTTGTAATGGTAACTAATACATCTAATCATCATCTGAAAATCCTAATAAACTGTTGATCTCTTAATGAATCCAGTTTTATCAAATGCTGAAATTTCAATGTGAAAAATCACAAATTCTATCCCTATGTTTTTTTGGAACTACATTCAAATAGCATAGTGAATAGTTACTCAAATAAAATGGGATTGGTGAATCGCTGAACTCAGTACTCACTTGAATTGGTTAAAGAACTTAACTCATGTTAATTCGCGCTTTATTTTTGTGAAGCTCACATAATAAAAAAGTAAATGTTTTCTCAAATAGAGTAGCATAATATGGCTAAATATAACCAAGCATTCTTTAATATTACCATTGTTTTCTTTCACAAATCATTTAAATGCATGAATATAGAATTAGAGGAGGATAAACCATTTTAAATAGGATGAAGTATTAAGTCATTGACAAATCTAAGCTCATATTATAATCAAATGGGGAAAGCTCACTTGTGATAAAAAAAATTACATTATGTTTTTAAAGAGTAGAATTATTGAAATGAATGATTTTGACACCTTAAAAATTATAGTGATTTTTATTTCTGACACTTCAGCTAATCAATGTTTGTTGAATGTTACACACTGTTTAACTAGAACAGGTGACAACATCCAATGTCATTTTGATTTTGACTGAAAAGCGATAAAGATCAATTTTAATGATCTTGTAAACATATCTATGTGTTAAAATAAATAATAAATAAAATCTAAAACATAACCTGTGACTTCTAATTCAATAAGAGAATTATATCTTTTTACCTGTTCAAACACATATTTCACTACTTCACTACGTGGAAACTGATTGACATTGAATATTCGAATAGCTTTCTTCAGCTAATCTAGGTGCCTTAATCTTAAGCCGTTCACTAAATACGCCTAGCGCATTATAATTTTCAACTTACTTTGCTTACCATAAATTCTCAGGAAAAGCTTTACAGGTATCCAAGATTGTATCAGAAAATTCTATCCTCAATATTAATAACCAGAACTACCTGCATATATCCATCGTCATTTTTACTTACTTACGCCTGTTACCCTTCGTGGAGGAGCATAGGCTGCCCACCAAGATTATCCATCCAACTGTGTCCTTGACAATCCTTTTCAGTTGCTATCCATTATTTCAATGTTTGCTTCTGATTCCCGACTCAATGTATTCCTTGGTCCCCCTCTTTTCCTTTTCCATTCAGGATTCCAAGTTAGGGCCTGACTCGTGATCCAGTTTGATGATTTCCGCAATATATGTCCTATCCACCTCCAGAGTCTTTCCCTAATTATTTCTTCAGATGGAAGTTGGTTTATTCTCTACTATAGTAAGTTGTTGCTAATAGTACCTGGCCGACGGACGTTGGGGATCTTACATAGACAATTGTTTATGAATACCTGTACTTTTATGATGATGGTTGTAGTGGTACTTCATGTTTCAGTATCGTACAATAGAAATGTCTTGACGTTTGTATTGAAAATTCTGACGCTGATGTGTTGAATGGCGGTTATTTGTAGTTTCATATACTGATGCAAATGTGATCTATTTCTCCGTGGTGTGATCCAAGGAACATAATAAGCTGTGATGGATGGTGGCTAGCACTGGAATCCAGAACAAGCGTCTCGTCCCATTTGGGGCTCGTCTGCTGAATATACATGCATCAGAGTTGATGTTCACTCCAGGACCCGAACCCAGTACCGTTTGCTTCAAACACCATCACGTTATCCACATAGCTACTGAGTCTTATAACAAACTTATAAATATTCGAATGTAGTTTATACCAACAATTTCACGGATCATCGTCTATTCATCATTTATTACACAATGTGCCCACTTCTCTAGGTGACTCAATGTCGTGTGCTGTTTTGATATTTCTAAAAGTATTGACATAATAAATATTTGACTTTTCAAATATTGTTTCTTAGGAAGATAATAAAATTGAAATCTTGGATGAAAGTGAGTCTTCAGATTCTGAAATTAAGGATGACGTAAGTTCTTAGAAATTACATTTAACGTGGCACATATATTACAAAATAATCATACTGATTTGCATATTGACTATTTTAATTAATTGCACTTCTTACTCTCACCGATCGTTTGATGACATTAGTTTAGATTCGCTTGTTCACTCATCTATTATATGGTTAGCTTATGATTTTTCAAAGCATATTCCGAGATAATAGAAAAACCTTCTTGAGACAAAAACAATTAATAAAATAAATAAAGATAACTAAAGTTGCTTTGTTTTCAACATTTCTTTGCAGCAATTTGAATTTTATAAGATGGAAAATTCATTAGACATAGCTGAAAAATCTCTTTTCAAAGTCTTTCATGTTTTATTTTCTTGATCTTCATAAATTGAAAATTTACAGAATTATTCGTTTTTAATGAAGTGATTGTGTAATAATTTAGCAATTACACTTGAATATGCTTTTGTATCCATTTCCGACATTCTTTAACTCACCCTATGGTTGAGCGAAGGATTTTAAATTCTTTGAAATAACAATTCATTCTGCTAAATTGTTTTTGTTAAATATCAAATATGCTTTGAGCACCAAAGTTTATCTTTATTTACTTAGGAGCTAAAAATCTCGAATTGTTCAAAGTGAGTTTCATTTGAAAATATTCGTTTTATTTTCTCAGTTTGTAAAATGTGTGTAAATATATACCGATAAAAATAGCAATTTATTTGAACGAAAACTGACATGAAAATAGGTTGTTATAGATAAACGTTTAAAATACAGCACAGTCTCTGTGGTAACTCATTAAAATGAACTAAGAATAAGAGTAACTTTGCATAATATAACAATACTTTTTCTAAAACAATTTAGTTATCTGAAAATTTTGACTCCCATATTAACAAAGAATATAAAAATATTTAATAAGCATTAAGGTTCCACAATATATTTAAAGTGGTGTGAATCTAGATGCTTAATTCACACAAAAATTTTCATTTTCATAAAATTATATTGAGCAAGAGAAACAATCACGAAAGCATTATACATATGGATCATTTTGTGGACTTTACATTTGCTTTAACTGAATACAACAAAGGGGTCCATTTAAGTGTTTTTCGTGTTTTAATATCCTCACCTTATTTTCTCGAACAGTGTAACGTTAATATGTTTAGTAAGTTCAATGAAAATATTCTCACAAAACAGCTATCTGTATGTGGCATCTGTTAGTGGATGATTTACACAACATATGTGATTGACTCACAATTTAATAAATCATGAGACTACTGGCAAACTTATATTTGATGTAGCTAACTGTTATAAAGTACCAAAGAATGTTATCTGATTTTATCTTGCAGGGTTTATTTAAAAAGAGCTAATGTAACAGTGCGCTAAATAAAGTATGGTTGAAAAATGTAGTATCATCTAGAGCTATTCAAAATAAATGAAATGTAAAACTGTTCTCCGAGGATTATAAATTCAGTATGAATTCTGATAAAGATTAGCTGAACGGGTAATCATACAAAAATTAGTCACCGATCCTATAGCAATAAAATTATTTAGATAACTATATATTTTGAATAAAACAATAATGTAAAAGTACAATTAATAGCGTAAACCAAATATGTCAAGACAATGATTTTCAACGATACAGATTGTATTGAACTACTCAAATAAAAATAAACCAAGAAAAGTACTCATTTATCTTTAACACAAATACAAGCTGGTTTAAAATGCTAATCGATTGCTGTAAATATCTCATAGTTGTTATACGGCAGTTTACTGTCTGTGAAAAACACATAAGCGAACATAAATTTATAACCTTATTATCAGCGTTCATCGAAAATATTATTTACTTCTAACAGCATCATTAGCATTATGACAATATTCTCAGAATTGGTGTTCACTCCGGGACTCAAACCCAGTACCGTCCGCTTCAAACGCCATCGCGTTATCCACTCAGCTACTGAGTCCTGATAGCCACTTGCTTGTGCAATGGGGCGAAGTTTAATTCACTTGATATTGTTTTATTTGAATCTTCCCATTGATGTTTAGGACTGAAATTGTTCTCAGTTTTTTCATCTATTATTGAAACGGCAGTCAGTAACGTATGCATCGATTTATCCTATTTATTAGTAATTTCTGTTCGCTGTCATGTTTTCAGGTTTTGTTAATTCATAGAAGTCATTCAAACTGTATCTATATACTGTTATCATGAATTATCTATCAAATAATAATGGTAATAGTTCTTCATGTTTATTTTAATAATTGTTAGTTAAAATCTCATACTTGTATGATAAGCCATATTGTTAACATAATATTATTTTAAAGTGCAGTGGACATAAAACCTGGTCAATTGTTTGGTCATATCGACTTCTACCTTTTATGGTTGATCGAACTTTGTAACAGCGTGCCGCTTACACTTTTAACTTCTTCCTATAAAGTAAGTTCATTTTCACTTTAATTAATTATTACGTTTAGTCTACTGAACGTAGACTAGTATAATTAAAGAATATAATAGTCTGTCTGTTAATACTTTGGCGTCCGCCAAGGCTGTCCACTTTCTCCCTTTTTGTTTAACTTCATCATAGATCTACTGATGGAAATAACGCTCTCATCGACTGAATTCTCAGGTATTGATCTCCTACCAGAAGGTCCACTTATTGACTTAGAATACGCAGATGACATAGTTCTGTTTGGTGAAGACGCTGATGAAATGCAGAGTCTTTTGGTAGCACTGAGCAACAATGCCAGAATGTTTGGGATGCGCTTCTCTCCCTCTAAATGCAAGTTGTTGCTTCAGGACTGGTCTGCGTCAACACCTGAACTAAGGATAGGGGGTGAAGTAGTCGAACGCGTTGACAACTTCACTTATCTTGGAAGTCTGATCAGCCCTAATGGGTTGATGTCTGACGAAATCTCAGCACGGATTCGAAAAGCTCGCTTGGCCTTTGCCAACTTACGTCATCTATGGCGAAGGTGATATATTCGTCTATCAATTAAGGGACGAGTATACTGTGCGGCGGTTCGTTCCGTTCTACTATACGGCTGCGAAACATGGCCTTTAAGAGTGGAAGATATTCGTAAGTTACTAGTATTTGACCACAGGTGCCTTAGAAATATTGTGAGTATCTGCTGGGATCACCGGGTAAGTAATAGTGAGGTTAGACGCAGGGTATTAGGGAATGATGGCAAATCAGTTGATGAGGTTATGAACCTTCATCGACTGAGATGGTTGGGCCACGTGCTACGTATGCCTGAACACCGATTACCACGACGCACAATGCTCACTGGTGTTAGGGATAATTGGAAGAAAGCTAGGGGCGGCCAAACCAAAACGTGGCATCAGTGCTTGAAGTCACTAACTTCTGGTCTGAGCCATGTTGGTAGATGCAGACTGCCTGGTTGGGGTCCGCGTGACTATCGTAACCAATGGTTGGAGACTCTTGGTGACATGGCTCAGAATCGATCACAATGGCGTCGGTGTATACACTCTTTGTCTTCCTTTAAACTAAGAGATTAAATTCACTTCAAATCTTTCTTTCTAGGAACTAATTCTACCTTCCTGTACTATCTCCTTATACACACTATTTCTTCTATATATTACCACCACTGAATTAACTACTCCTATGAATCCGGTGTTCATCTTGTTGTGCTAATGCGGTATGGCGACTTGGACCGATGCATATACGTGCTTGGTCCTACGTTGTAGCTGACTGACTGACTTTTTGATTAGCAAGTTCTTCCAAGTGTTTTCCCATCACTTGTTTAACAAAATGTGAGTAGTGAATAATCTTACGATTGTCTTCAGCTGCCCTAAAACCATAAATTTAAGTGCTGAATTTCGTCTATTTCCATGAAACTGAACAGAAATAAACGTGAAAATAACTTCAGATTTCAAATGAGTTAATGTTAGACATTAAAGAGGAAAAAATGTATTTGTAAAATCTCAGCGAATGAATTTGGAGTAAATCCAGTCTTTCCCCTGGCAATCTGGTCCAAGCTTTTTCAAGGAAAATATAATCAAACAACAAAATTATCGAATATAAATAGGTACATGGTTCTCTGGTTTACTGTATACTGAATAAGTCATCCAATCAACGTGAATACTGTTTGAAGTAGGCATTTACATTAGTGTGTAAGAGACATGTGGTGTGAAACGATAAGTGTTAAGATAACATTTGTGTCTACGTAAGTGATGTGAGAAGAAATTTCATTCAACTATATATTGTCGTCGGTCTGTGTCTATTAAGAAAGCATATCATTTTATATATGATATGAATCAAAAATGTCACGGCATGCATTAAATGAAGATAAATAAACAAGATAAGTAAACAGGATAAAAGACTGAATTCAAAGAGGAAGAATGTGTTTGTGATTGAAAGTTTTTTATTTTAATGTTTCCGTCAATTGTTTAACATATTCAGATATGACAACTGATTTCAACCGTTGAATGTATTATCTATTGGTTAGTTAATATGATATAGATAGATAGAATGGAATAAGGAGTTCAGGTTTACTTATTAATTGCTATGGGACAGCTAATTGTATTCCATCTCTCCTATTAATACTGTTTGAATTAGCTCATACAGTTTATTTTAATGGCGCAAGAATCATTCAAAAAGGCTTTAATTCTTACAAAGAATGACTAACAGTCGAAGCCCTGCATATATGAGAATTCAAAACGTTTTACTTCAAAATACTGATTCAGATAATTTTAGATTTATATATATTTTTTATAAGGTATCAAAATAGCGCAAACGTTCTTTGTTTTATTTTACCACTATTATACAAAGTAATGGCCAGTATCATTTCTTCTATCATGATGATGATTACATCTAATCATTCGTAAACCGCTAAATGATTTCGAATTGCTAATTTGTAACGCAGCAGGATTTTGCACTAATTTTGATAGTTTTATGGACAAAAATTCTTTGCTGAAAAATGAAAGGACATTTTTATGTTTTCTATGAGTTTTGTTCATTATATACTAAACGAGCTACCGAGTTGTATTTTTTCTACATTTTTCAAGTTGTACCACACACCAGATCAGGCAAATTTCTTTATCAAACGAGAAGCACTCCGAAAACTAATCATGAACGTCATATGTAAACACACTTTCAAGTTCGTATAAACACTTTTAGTCTTGATAACAGGATACACGACTAATATTTTTCATAAATCTACGTAACATCGAAATATTTTGTACGTGATCCTAATATTTTTTTATGAAAATGTTCTTAAAAAACTTATTTTGTGTCCCGTCAAAATGAAGTTAAACATTTTTCAACCTTAAGATTGATAGTTATCGTAATGCATTCTTCAAATTTTGTCAATTTGAAAACTTTGATGGAAACACCATTCGTTGTTATCTCTTTATCTTCACTAACATTTCTAACTTACCAACATCTCGTACTATTCAATAAAGTTATTTACATTGTTTTCAGTTATTTGGTCAGTCGTTTATCAGTGATGATAAGTACCTATCAATTATAGTTACAATGACTGCTGTTTTCAATGCCGGTGGGCGTATTATATGGGGATCAATTGTGGATCGTTTTTCATACAAGGTGAGACATTCCAAAAAAAATTCACAAATCTACAAAAAAATGTTAGATTAGTTTGAAAATCTAACCGAATATGTTACTTTTCGATAATGCAATGAGAAGACGAAGTTTACCAGAATTATGTGAACAATCTGATCACACATATACTAGTTAAGATCATTTATATATGAAAATTAAAACGTCAACTAGACAAGTTAAGGGTAAGTCATAACAAAGGAAAAATATTAAAGTATACAAAAACAAATGTGATTACCACTTTGGATGATAAATCAGTGTTACCAGGGTAGGTTTAAGGTAAGAACAAACTGTTTTCGAACACATAAAGGGGGTTTCAGTTTCCGTATAGCCAAGGCTTCAATAAACCTTAGTATACGTCCTTGAAGGCTGATTTGATGTCTACCTTATGACCCGTCTCAATCAAATGTTTCGCAATGGAGGATGATGTCTGTCTATCCTGTGATCTTATTTGACCATTGGAATCCATTTGTTTTGGCAACCATTTTGGTATGTTATCACCCACCCTTAATTGCAAATCACGATTGCTCCTCCCTATGTAAGTGTTAACACACATACATGTAAATTGATAGACACAATGGGACGTGATACAATCGCTTTCGTGCTGTTCGGGCTTTTGGTGAAACATAGACATTGTCTTTTCAATAATGACAAGTTGGGCTGCATAAAATGTCCGGTTGATAGCTAATTTAAGTTTCCGTTTCAACATGAGACTATTTGTGTCGCCTGTGAATGGTAACGTAATCTAAACTGTACACAATAATAAGCTTTTCATTAAACTGCGTTTGTAATGAATAGGGCAGTGACTATGAAAATTAAGATAATGCCCTGTCCATGTTGGCTTTCTGTATATAGCACGTTGGATGGAACCATCATCTCTCCTACTGATCAGGATGTCTAGAAAAGGAAGTTTGTTGTTCTTCTCTTCTTCGCATGTAGTAGAAATGTGCTTTTGACTTCTATTGAATTCTTTTAACAAGCGGTTTATGTTTTCACCTTTATCCCCTATGATTATTATATCATCAACATATCATATATACAGTCCCATCTTTCGAATTGAGTTTTCAACTAAATTTTCAACATATACCATGAACACATCAGCCAGCAATGGTCCTAGAGGGCTCTCCATAGCTACACCATCTATTTGTCGGAAGTGCTCACCTTCAAAAGTAAATTTTAGATTATCTGTACACAATAATAATAGATCTTTAAGAGTGTTAACAGGAAATGGAAGTGGAAGGTTATTCAAAGAAGTATAGTCACACAAAATATCAACAGTTTTCCTGAGAGGTATATTTGTAAATAAAGTATTCACATCAAAAGAGCACATTGTCTTTGTCTTTATATTTATGTCCTTTAAGTAATTAATCAATTCAAATGAGTTAGTCAATGAATTCTTACAATATTGATTTAGGATATGATTTAGTACTTTTGTAAGCCATTTCGCAAGGTTGTGTGTAAGCGACCGACACATTGATAGAAGTAGACGTAAGGGGGTATTAGGCTTATGAATTTTTGGCAATCTATATAAATTAGGATATGCCGAACCCATAGGTTTTAATAAATTATACTCATCCTTGTTAATAGCATTCATGTTTAACAATTTCACAAGATTCGAGTTTACTTTCTTTTCTAATTTACGTAATCCATCGGAGTCAACATCAGCCAGAAATTTGCTTTTATCACTGAGAATGGATTCCATTTTATTTTTGTAATCGGACTTATTCATAATAACAACACCAGATCCTTTATCGGGTTTAAGTATAATAAAATCGGGATTATTTCGCAATTCTTTTAATGATTTAAAGTGCGGAGAAGTTAATATGCTTCTCTTTTTTGGTCCAGAAGAATGAAAGTGATGCGCTATATCTACTAGTTTGGCTTTAAACCAACTTTAATTCTCTGAGGACGAAGGGGTTAAAGTATTCAATTGATCATAGAGGTTTTCAAATTGGGCACTGATTGTCAATTCGGAGATTTGTGTTATAGGAACGGAAAATTTTAAACCCGACGACAGTGCCTCCCTTTCATGAACAGACAATACAATGGAGGACAAATTAGTGACATTTATTAGGATTGATTGGGAAGGAAGTGAGATTATTATTATTATTATTATTGTTACAGCAAGATTTTTCCAGCTTTTTTCTTATCCCTTCTTTTGTTTTCAAAATGAAAGTACTACTTTTATTTTGAGAATCTAAAATCTTCCTTTTTACGAAACCAATCACGTTTTCAAGAAATTTGTTACAATTCACATTGGCATACATTTCAGTGCATATTGTGGTGCTCTTTTTTTTAAGGACAAAAGATAAGTCCAGTGACACATTTTAACACACCTCTTCTGTCGAGCTAAAACTAATACGTACAAAGTAATCAGATCACCCTAGTAGCTGAAAAATATAAATGATCGTCTCCAGCTCTCGGACTGATAACCATCATAGACGTTTTATTTAGTACAGTAGTGAATTCTAACTATAACATACAAAAAATTAACGTTGATTGGATAAAGTTTGTCAAACTCTATGAATACTTTCATCCTATTGAAATTTCAGTTTGGAGCTTCTAATACATAAATTAAATTTATTCATGCCTACCCTATTTAAACCGTAGTTACCTGGACGTTTATGCAATATGATTGATCAAGAAATGAAAAACCTTTAACATTTTTTAATGGTGAAAGATAGCTTTAGTAACTTATTTATTCACTGAAAGTGCCGTCCAATTATACACCTGAAAAGAATTTCAGTGGTTCCTCTGTATTGAGACAGATGATTACATTAAAAATAATATATTATACAAACTTGTTATTCAGAACAAGAATAAGAGTAAAAGTGTACTTCAAAATTCCTGGTGTTTGATGGCATAATATACACAAACAAGTTTAAGTTGCAAGTCATTTTATCAATGAAATAGCAGCTGTAATACCTAGTCTTTTTTTTTAATTTCTCAAGTGGATTTTAATGATTGTTTTAATCAGTAGATAAGACTTTAGGCGTATTCTGCAAAGATTCTCAGTTATCAACCATATTTTGTAATTCTAGATGTAGAAAATCTTTATTCATCAATGTAACGACATATTTCATTTTAAATTAGTATACATTTTAATGAATTGGAAATATCAATGTAAACTTTATCAATCAGAAACAACAGTAATGTCTTGTACATGTGGTCATGATTAACAGTTTTCATTAACTTTCATGCATTTTCATTACGTTGTACCATCGGAGTGTTAGTCATTATTCGTAAATTGATTATCGCGCTAGTGAAAATCAACCACAAAGTTCGATTTCCACTAAAATCAGAAGTAATATAATTCTGTATGTATTTAATAAGCTATAGTGGTTTACAACTTCTAAGAATTCGGAGTATAATACTATACAGATTGGAGCAGAAATTAAGTATTCATATTTAAATCAAAAAGTTCACTATTTTTTCAGAAATTAATTATATGGATAATTATTGTTGCCATGTATTTAATCGAAATGTTGAATCTCACTTTTTTCATGTCGTAGATTCCATTTTGTATAATAAGCCTGATTTGGGCCATCCTTCTTTTGACGTTTCCTTACATCAGTCTGACGGATGGACTGACGGCGAAAATGCTTTATTGTATTTGGGGTATTGGAGGTTTTCTTTTTTTAAGCAGTGTATCAACAGTGGCTCCAGCAGCCATAGGGTCGATGTTCGGATGTACAAACATGGCTATTAACTACGGGATAATAGCATGTGCACGAGTACGTTTACCTATTTCATGTTTATAAATATCGATATATTTTTGTATTTACCATGTTCACACTCAAACAACAGCTAATTCAAGTCTTGTAGTCTTAATGCAGATCAGGACCTATGCAGACAATCCTCTCACTTCTTAATGAAAACACAAATTTGTCTACTAAATGATGAAAAGTCAAGGTAGATGAAAATCAAATTTATTACTCGAATTCTACTAAAGATTTAATACTATGAAGTGATATAAAAATAAGTCCTATTTAAAAGTCACTTTTAGTAAGGGTTTGTGAAGACTTTTGAATTTTAGTGAGATCACAGATCGACCTAAGTAAGACAACCATTAAAAATTTGGAAGCACTAGTTCTAATTTGGAGCTCCTTGACAATCCTCATCAACAACCCCACAACAGGGAATCGATCCCAAGACCTTCAATTTTTGCATAATTACGCTTAACTTCTAGATTACTAAGTCGATTTCCATTGGTATATAAGTCTGACTGAAATCAAGTCACAGCAGTGTGCGACCATCTTCGATTATCGGTGAGTAACGTCCTCAGACCCAACACAGCTGAACTCCATTGGTTACAGTCTAGTGCCACTGCGTCTTTAATGGTCGTCCACCTTATATCGGTTCACAATTTCAATAAAATTAAAATATAATGTCTTGGAAACACTAAATCGGTATCACAAAAGTACCCATTTGAATCTATGAGCACTGTAAACTCCCACTGACCTCCTCATTTTTTATTCTGTCAGTTCTTCAGATGATTTCAGAACTAACCATTTATTTTATCAACACAAATGTAGATAAATGCCGTCAGTTCAAACAAAGTTCAACAATGTTTAACAGATGATATGTACTAGAACTTTTTCCAAATAGCGTAATTAGAGAACTAGTAGCATACACTCTATGAAAATCCTTATCAATTTATCGATGATAAATTTATTATTTCAACGACTCGGATAAGAATCACGTCTTCAAATTATGTTAATGACATTATTTAAACCATTTTTAGTCGTAACGGTAGTTTTCATTACAGATGAAAGTTGTATTTGTTTTCATTTTAGAAATTTAACAAAATAGTACACTAGGTAATGAAAATATAATTTTAGAGGATCTTAACCTCCTTACATTTTCAATTATTTTTATCAACTGGGAATAATTTCTTTACCAGTTCTTATGTCCCAAATCTTATTTATTTACAAGGTTTCTTGTTTGCTACCCACTAAAGTGTATTGCCCTAACCAAGATCCTTGACTTTCGATAACTAAGAAACTGATGATTTCTTCTCGATATAGTCCCGCTAGTTTAAATCATTCTACTGCTTACTATGAATAAATGTTGATTGTATGTGAAACTGCTTATTCTCGAACTTTTACAACTTGGATAATATGATAATCTGTTGATTTGTAACAGATAATTTGACGAGTTGTAATCACCATCCTTACATTTTAAGCATAATGTGTTTTATGTCGACTGTGTTTGATGTATTTAGTTCCCTTAGCAAACTTGTAGATCATGAACAAAAAAGATTTTGAGATGAAATCAAAGCATTTTACTCTGCATGTTCTAAATCTTCCACACACTGATTTTTGCAAATAAAAGTGTTTTTGTGCATAGCATACTGTTATTTGGTTAAATAGTTCAAATTAATTTATTTCAAATAATTCTACCTTTCTTTTGGTTTAATACTCACAAGAAAACGACGTCAGCTTAAGATTAGATGACTTTCTGTGTTTATTCGAAAGTGTTTTCAAAAATTAATTAGCTTCACGTATTACAGATTGTGAAGTGACTTGAGACGAAAATCTTTATCAAATTTCCTTTCACTTACACAGTCTTGTCATAAACTGAAATATAATAAAATTTGTTGAGATGATCCAGAAAAATTCTCGCAAAAGACATGCAAGGATCAGGAAACATTAAGAAGCATTTCATCCAATCAGCGTCCACTTGGCGTTTGCCAGAAACATCAAGGATGTGAAACGTACATTTATAGGTTCTGATTGGCTGGCTGTTGCACTGCTACTATGTTTAGTAGCATTCCAGAATCTTCGAGCAGCCTAAAGACATTTAGAATATTATAAAAACCCTATGTTCTCTGTATTAAAACGAACCTTGGAGTAAAGTACTTTTCGCATACTTTGCGCCTTCTCTCTCGTGTTCAGGTTGCTGTATAGTTCTAGCGTAGGGGTTACAAGAATAGCTTAGGAGCCGAGTATAGCGTTCAAATTGCGAGACATCAAAATTAATTAAGCAGTCAAATAATTTTTATTTGAAATATTATCATTTCAATCAACAATGTGAAATGAGATACATAATGAATTGCTTTGGACCTCCATTCTTTAATAAATGGTTGTATATCAGATAAACATGATTTAAAAATTTTTAAATAATTCTTATGGTAGTAAATCATATTTGTTACTTAAACGTAAATTATTTACAGGAAACTATGAACTTTCATATGGAAAACTATGTGTGTTTATCCTTTGTTATTCTACATAGGCTGTAGGATGTCCTTTGTGTGCCTTTGTCCTCACATTTATCAGTTCAGAGAACCTATACATTGTCCAGTTTACTATATGCGGATCCGCGAGCCTAGTAGGTGAGTAGTTCAAAATAACTTAAAAATGTTCAATTATATAACACAAAAACTTTCAATGTTTTCAGTCGGAAAACATCTTCAAAATTATAATTTCAGTAGAGTACAGTACAAATGTAATTACTTAAAAACACCATAAAGTAAAAAACATATTCATTTAAACGTATTTTCGGCTTTATTGTTATGATCGAAGTTTTCTCCCGAATCTGTTCCTGCTATGTAAGCCTTGATAATCCGGGGACGGCAAAAATTGAATAATAAGGCAGTAGACAGAATTTGTCCATGTCAAGAAAAGGAATTGAAAACAGTTACTCTTATTCTTTCAAAACTTGGTTCCCACATTGTGATAGGTCATGTGACTGAGATAGTTTTTCCATGTACTTTAATATAAAGGTTAACAAAAAGACCTTGTTATGATGATTTTGACTGACTTGAAATGTTCATATGAGAGCTAGTATTGAATTATAACTGTGTTTTAACCAAAGGAAAGTTTTACGTGATAATGTTAAAGGTATGGTGAAAGTATGTAAGCTAATCTGGGACATTTTTAAAACGCAATATCCCAATTACAGAATTAACTTTTTTTGTTGAATCCTACAGCTTTTCTTCTTGCCTTATGGATTGACGATCACAAAATATCGAAGAATTTAGATTGTTGCTCATTTTGTTCTAGAACATGCAGTCATTTGCGTGTCCAAAGAAAATAGTGATATCTCAAATCTGTTTTTCATTCTTAGAGAAGTAAGGTTATAACTTGATTAATGTAAAGCTTTTAACACTTATGGTGTTATATTGTTCTCTTTATTATTTATTAAATAAATTTACTTCTTAACAAACATGGTTTATTCATTAACTGTCATTAGTAATGAAGGAAGTAAATGTATAGGAAAAATGTAGAAGTAATTTTTCAGAAATGCCATCCAGACATTTGATTATTAAAATAAAACAATGTACAAGGCGGTTATAAGAGATAATTATGATATTCAAATGGAAGTACTACAATTTTACGTGAATTGTTTTCTTTACCATGACGGTCACAAAGAGCTCAATCATTTAATATTTTGTTTTTCTAGTAAGATTAGGACTAATTAAAGTATTAACCGAACTGATATATGTTTGATATGCTCTGAACACATCGCTTTCTGTCATAGTTGTTTCAAATATCTTTTTGTGCATTGTAGATTGATAAACAAAATACTTCTCCCTACTATAATGTGTACAGAACATGATGCAATGTGTATATCGAATAAATGTTCTCTAAAATGTGAGAAACTCAATTCTATATAACTGTAGCAGTCATCAATATGTAACATACTCTGTATGAGACAGTATCGGACAACGCTAGGTTTCAAACAAGTTAATCTATTCTGAAGACAAACTAGAGAGAAAGTTTAAAATGGCTGGGAGGAATAGCGTTGCATATTATCCGTGTCAGGTCCTGTCCATAATGCTTGACTAACAGAATTCAGCTTATATTGTCTTCTCGTGTCAGCACCAATGTCGGTTGTCAGAAAGCTGCTCATTATGAGTCATTATTTACTGTTATTTAAAAGTAAACATATGGTACACTTTTGTCAAATAATTTAGTATCTTGCACACTTAACGTGCAAACGAATTTAGAGACAAATCCAGTCAAGCTGTACATAAGCTTGTTTTTTAGATTAATGATCTTAGATTGGTTATATCACCGAAATGAGTATCCCAAGGACATTTTTTCCATTAATGGTAGGCTCAGTGGAACATACAACACATTTAGTACAAGCGATCATGTTTCAGTAAGATCGATATCGTTAATATACTCAAAATTTCCCCAAATAGAGTTTAAAATATTTCATTAAAATTACCAATAGATTATCTGGCTGATTTTCATCGTGAGACGTAATTCGCTTGTGACAGCTTATTTGTATATATATACTTTACAAACGACAGTAACTTCTTATTCAATAAAGTTACCCTTTTTGTCCATCCATTTATTTAATAAAGACTAACAAATATGACACAAGTCCTAAATAAAAGTTAAAACACATAACGAAGGGTGTAACTGAAGAAATATGAGGATTGTAAGATAAGACACTGGCGAGATGCTCAAATCATTCATTCTGTTTCAAGAACTAATTTGGTTGACATATTCCTCGACTATAAAAGTAAATTTCCAGTTTGTCGGGAGAGAAGATTATAATCAAAACTTCCAGTTCTTCACTTTTGTTGGTGTGTTATTTGTCATTTGGTCAGTCGTGAACAACATGGAACTTAATATGTATATGCATTTGTTTGAGTTGATACGACTCATTAGCACAATAATGTTCAAATAGTAATACAAACGATTGGGATCTTTAAACAATAATGTGACCAATGAAGGCACATCTCAGATTAGAAGCACTATCAGTATCATTTTGAACGTTGGGTGAAGAAATGAAAGAAGCATAAGGATATTTTGGGATTTATAACCTAAGACGATGCAAACAGTGCATACACCTATGGCACTGATAATGTTTGAGAATTATAGCCCACATCAACGTACCATAAGTAGTAGCAGTAGCTAGGGGTGTAAAGATAAGGCCTTGAAGGTATCACTGGAGGTATTGATATGCAGGATAAAATAATTTTCATAGGTGGTCAAGAGAATTAGGATCTAAAGGGAGACAAAAAGTGAATGCACTTGCACCATTTCTTGCGATCCTGAGAAACATCACTCAGCATCTTTGACTGATTATCATAATTGTCGTATATATCCCAAGCATTTGGTCTCCACCCATCTACACGACACAGTCCAATTCTTAATGAATTCATGGACTAATGTTATGTCTTGGTATAGCCGTTTCTAGCTTCCTCCAAAACTACCACATCAACAATCGTCACGCGTCGAAGTAAGAAGCGGTTGGGGCTACCTAATACTTGTCATCACAGCTACCTCGTGTGATGAAGGATTCACTGCCTGCATCACTCAATTTACGTCTAACCTCAGGACTGCTCACTTGATGGTCCTAACATGCACAAGTGATGCTTCGAAGATATCTGTGAACAAATGCTAATAACCTTAGAATATTCTCAACTTACAAGGTTACGTTTTGCACGCATAAAGCAAAACAAACATCTTTCCTATATTGCAAATGATGCGATTTATTGAAAACCAGCTGAGCTTTCAGAACCTGTGCTGATTTTTCGCTGGAAATCAGCTTAAGAGATCATGACCAAGAAAGATGTTTAAGATGATAAGATTGTGGCACGTTTCCTAACATTCATCGGAAGAGAAACGTACAGCTTATTAAAATTTTTGGCAGATCCAGAAAAACCTATCTCACTTCCTTATGCAACTTTTAAGGAGATATTATTAAATCATGTAAAGTGCACTAGTTTTGAATGCCGTGAAAGGGCGAAATTTCATAAGATGATTCGTCAGATTGAGCAAAAGGCTAAGGAATTCATCCTTGAATTGCAGAAACAAGCTGCCAAATGTAATTTCGGTGATCGACTTCATGTGAAACTGAGAGACCGATTATTCGCAGGAATTAACATACCGGGTTTGGAGAGGGAGTTGTTAAGAGTGCCTAACTGTTCCTTTCAAGATGCTAGAACTGCGTGTATTAACTACGAGGCAGTGAATGAATTTGATATCCAGTCGATGAAGATTTCTAATACTTTGCTTAGTTGTCATGATGAAATACAATCTCAGGGTCAATCAAACTTGCGTTCGTTTAACAATGATTCCTATTCTCGTGTAAATATACCATTTCAAGTCCAAGGATAGCGTTCGATTAACAGGATTACTTTTGGGATATTTTTCTGAATATCATAAGAGTCATTGATTAAAATCCCAACAAACCATTGAGACAAAATTAATTTTCGATAGTCAACATATAGTTTTCATCAGCAACACTACACTTGTGAGGGTTTACCTCTGACCAATGGTAAAGGCACAACTATCATCAACAGACCGGAATTTTTCACGTTTGGTGAAATAACTAGGCAAAAAGAAGGAGGACTTTTGATTATATTGAAATCTTGTCGTCTTATTCAACGACGTGTATGTTGAATGAGCGGAACTTGAAACATCTGAATGAGATCTGCAGTATGTAAATGTCAACCTTATGTTTTTTGTCGGACAGCCTTCTCACATTTTTAGCAGATTTTCCTCAGCTGGTTTCAGCCACTCCATTTTGCGAATATAAAGTACTTATCTTTCTTTGTTTCTACAACTTTCCCGTAGATTATTTATCTACAATAAGTTCTAGGGGGAGCGAATATTATGAATGAACAAACCCTCATTTGTTTTTCTACAAGCATTTAAGCACTACATAAAATTGAAATATATTCGACAGGCTACTGGTCCTTTTCATTTTTTCAGCGACACGTTTGTGTTATCTAGAGAAGGAGCTTTTTCTGAAGCTGAACCATATTACTGACATACGCGTAAAGGCCACAACTTATACAGAGTGCCTTCTAATTGTTACTTTATGACAACTGTACAATCATTAAGTAATTTTGTGGCTAATGTCTATCAAATGCTTAGTTGATAAACCTTCATGAACGTCTTACCGTATAGTTTATGTGCTTTTTTAGTGACATTACTGGGGTAGTTCATTCTGTTGATCACTAATGTGAATTTTCGCGCCAAATATGCAACACCGTTTTATTGATAAAGAAAATCAGTCCAGTAGTGATTATTTTCAATGAATCTGATAAAGATGTTTTTACCGTCCATTATGGTGAGCAGTACTATATTTCAGTGAATCTTGCCACGAAATTCTGCACTTATGATAAGCTAGCTCGTCTTTATTCCAGCTTAAATGGGTATACGTTTAAGTGTAACTTAGTACCAAAAAGTAATAGTGGTTCGTTGGTATAAAGACGGTTGTAAAAGATGCGATATCTCAGGTTTTTTTCACAAGTTATCCTACCATGCTGCACAGTGTGCGAGTTAAGAGCCTCCAGAATATCTTAACTGTGTTCTTCTTGTTGTTCATGTACTTTCATAATTCCCTTAATTTCAACGGGTCTCAGAAGAATGATACTTTTCGTAAGATAATGGTGTATGGAATATGAATTTACCAAGTTGTATATTGGGTAAATACTGGATTTAGTTACAGGTAATTGTGGGGTCAGGCTGCCTACTGTTTAAGAAAAAAATTGCAGTACCAATAATGGTTGGTAATGTGTAGTGCCAGTAGTAAGATAACATGATACATTGTAAATATTCTCTTCTGTGAAGAATCGTGCGATTTTTAAATCGCTCACGGAATGTCAGATGGACAGAATATCATTTATATTTACTCGAACAAAAATACAAAGAAACTAAACGAGACTGTGTTCATTTGATATATATATATCGTTCATAGTACTTTTTTTATTAATGGGTTTGATTCAGAATTTCTGTAGGAAACTAGCATGAAATTAAGTATGCATCTATGACAAGCAAAAATAATGACGTACTCGATTATATGAAGTTGGGATGGTTTTATAAGCTTGCTATATTTTTTGTGAAAGTATATTAAAATGATCTATTAAATTTTTGTTTGATTTGGTTCATAGAAATATGTCCAATAATTAGTTTCCGGAAGAATTGTTTTACCTCATCATTTGATACTGTTTGGTTTTGAGGCAGATACTCAAACGTTTCATAAGTTATTGTTGTTTAAAAGAATGGTGAGTAAATATTATGGCTCTTACTATTTTAATTGTAGAAGAAAGAAAAGAAGGACTTTCTGTATGGAATCCTTGTGGTCATAGGTGCATTTTGTCTTCACTTCAGCCTTGGGCATTTCTATACTATTTGTAAGTTAGGAATTATCCTTATTACTTCTTTGTTAGCAAACATGGCAACATACATAATGTCATACATAGCAGCAAGAGTTGACACTAAAATCAGTGATAGCTCAGCTGTATGGTTATCTGCACTTGGTCTTGGATGTCAGGGTCTGGCTATGCCAATAGGCGGGTTTATGGGAAGGAAATTCGGACCGAAATCAACAATGATTGCGACGTTGATTCTGGGAAGGTAATATATTCACACTGTCAACACCATATTGTTTTACATAAACTTTTGTAAAGCATATTTTTGCGTTATTTTGCTTCTAGTGAGCAAACTTATGTTACTGGTTAACATAAACTGAACTTTAAAAGAAACGTTTGTAAGGGATTGATATTTTTTATAAGAAGGTTTACGTCAAAAGTTGTCTTAAAGTGGTCAAGCGTTGTTATCGAATGTTTTTGATCTCAATACAGGATGTTGTATAGTTATTATTTCTTATGGAAATTGACAGTTGCTTTAATATGGCTTATACATATCTGATGAGTAGAAATCCTAAAGAGACAAAAACCTGAAATCCCTCAAAACATCTGAAACGTTTATTTAACAAAATCAGGTACTTTTAATGTTAAGAAACATCTATCAGATCTCCATAAATAATTATATGTATGGACGTTCTAAACTTAACCTGAGCTACTCAGTAGGTTGATAATATATTTTATTGCGTTGTGCCTCTAAGCAATAAAGATGTTTATTTTCGTATCCAGCCGTTTTACTAAACGGTAATAACATCCAGATAAAATCGTTGGCTTAACCTTTACTTCCAGGTTGTAAGTTGGTAATTAGTCATTCAGTTAATCGTACGCAGCGTAGAACCTGGCGAATGTTTGCACCAGTTCAAGTAGTCACACTTAATTGGCGCAGTGAGAAGTTGTCCAGAAAAGTCTTAGAGTAATAACAGTAGTAATACCCGATCAAACTTCCAGAAAGTTATTTTAAGCCTTGACTTTGGAGAGTATTTGTATATATTTTTTTGAAATACTATTACTTTTTCCATGATTGTTTATTTCAAAGTTTTAGAAGATTATTCTAGTTGTTATAATGTGTATATGATGAAGCACACCAAATCTCTACTGCATGTTAATTATGGCACTTCATATTTTTGTTATTTGTTTAGTGGAAGCATTCTGTTAACATATATTGTTGTACAGAAGACGTTTATTGGTGTAGTTTTTACTGTTGGGATAATGTTTGGACTTTCGATGGGCATTGGTTATTCCGTCGCAATAGCTTGTGCAGTATCTGTAAGCATAAATGTTTTGATAGATCCTAAGTATTAAGCTAGACAATAAATTACCAAGTTGACATTTAATAACTTCGGTCTGGGATTCACATTACGGATATGTCTCCGTGAATACTTGGTTTATTGTCACTCTCTCTATAGAGTCATTCATACAGCGTTTTGGATCTAAATTAAGAGTTTGGAATCAGTACCGAGGTACCTCTCTAAAGCTCAAACTTTTTAATATTAAAAACATCTTAAATAATTTGTTTTCGGCATTCGTCAGTACAGTTTTCATCATAAGATGTAATTGGTTAACTAACTAGTTAGTTTATGAGTCTGTCTTTTGTAAACACTTTTTATTGCTTTTGGAATAGTCTCAGATTAGTTATGTATATCTAGATGTCATTATTTCTACATATATAAACATGAAACACTAAAAATTGTAGGAATCTTCTGAAAAACAAACTTTGTACCAGTGTAAGTGTAAACGCTTTTAAAATAACATAACAAGTTTCAGGAACCTGAAGACACTATACATTCTGTATAGTTCTATGGTCAAAGTTCATGACTGGCTGAGTATGGAGTTATTATTTTGTGTCCACATCCTTTAGATTATAAATGCATATCTGAGAATAATAAAGAATAGTTACTTATAATTATTACTTGAAAGTTGAACGATATTTTATCTATATGTTTCAAATGGTCCTAGTTGTCTCGACTACCAAGCTTGGTTACATTTCGTTCACAATTATGGTGACAAATTTTTCAAAAATGAGCAGGTTTGTGTAAAAGTATTAGTTCAATGTGCTTATAAGCAAAAATGGATAGTGGCTAGCAGTGGGATCCAGGACGTGCGTTTCGTCTCATTTGTGACTCTTCAATTGGATGTACCTGCATCCAGATGACGAGTCCCAAATAGGACGAAATGCGCGTCCTGGATTTAACTGCTAGCCGCTATTCATCTTTGCTTATAAAAGCTTGTGACTTGAAGCAATATCAAGGCAGTCGGCACAGTATTCCCATATGCCAACAAGAGACTGATCGATTGCAGTCTTAAATAACACTGGGAAGATACAAGTAAAAGCAATGCCAAGTGAATTTAATGTGTTTAGTTTTAAGACTTTACAGTGATCTGAAGTTCTTTACGTTTAAACAAATTTGTCCCTATAAACAAATCATCTGTAGCCCTATGTTTCTTTAATGCATAAAATATTGTGTATACTCAAAGCCTATTCCAAAGTATGAAATTAAGCTCTAGGTTCTACTCAGTTTGTTTGAAATCGGAAACACCAAGGTTACAATGTAATTTTAGTAACCATAATGTATCTATATATTTTTAATTTTCAGTTTATTCGTGCTTATCATCAAAACATGTTTTGGTTTTTTTATCCTTAGTGGTTTCCTGGAAGAAGAGGATTAATTGTTGGTATAATTGTTGGAGGATTTGGATTGGGCTCCCTAATTTTTACACCAATTCAAACTGCATATATTAATCCATCTAACTTAATGGTGGATAGTCAAACAAGGTAAAAAATTGTTAACGCTTAGCATTGTGAAGAAAAGTAACCACCATTTTGTGACTTGCAACTTTTAGTTTTTATTTAGTATATTCTAATCATTGTTTGTTTAGTGCCAAAATTTTCTCAGAAAGTTATGGGCCAAAATAATAATGTTTAATCAATTATTAACGCATCTATATTAGTAATCAAGTCCGCTCGCTGCATTAAGTAAAATGATATTTTATGAATAAAAAATTGTTTTGGATTTGTAATCGTTAAAGCCTAATTGTCTATTATCTCTCCTTCCTAATATAGAAACAGCTCTTTAAAAGTAATGATATTTACCATTTGACTTGAGTTCGTCGTTTTCCCGGTAGATACCATTCCAATGAAACCATCAGTATTATTTCACACAATAAAAACTTTTCAAAACCTTTAAACCTTCTGTACAACAGCAAACGTGATTTTCCATTTTACTTTTTTCAAATAACTTTCTCTGGTTATCTAAAAATGTCTCGTTGCTCCGAAGAACATTTTGCATTAAAAAAGTCTTATATAACTAGTTACTCGGCGTTAATATAAAATAGTCATTGTTATGAGAAAATACAGTGAAAAGTAAATAAAACGTCGAAACTAGGAAATTTTTAACCGTCCCTACGTCGAGCAAGTAGGGAAATATCATAGAAGGGTAGTCAGTGAATATAAATCAATTCTTTATAAAGCTTATGTAACCCACCAGAGTTGTAAAACGTTCAATAATAACCACCAGAAATATTCCGGAACAGACGTTAACATTTTAATTGGTAAAACTCAGATTGCTAACTAGTAAACATGATGAGGTATCATTAGCTACTGAGTAAGAATATGCAGCCAGTTTTAACCACGTTGCATTATGAATTTCATTGTATTAATAAATTAGATGTAGAAGTGCTATCTAAGCGTAAGTTTTTTTCAGATTTGGTGATCATTTATGAAAGTAAGCGAGTGGTTATTTTTCTGCGAAGCACTCTATCATTGTATTAGCACAAATAAGTTGCATTTGGTGTGAAGTTTCTTGCAACTATCAGGCGAGCTAATACGACTACCATAAAGTTTTAACCCCCACAAGCAGGCAAGAAACGCATTTTAACTTCACTATGTCACCCATATTTACAGCCTTCTTTTAAGGGGTTAAAATAATCCTGAACATTTTGCTATTACATCGTAAAATGCGTTTGAATAATTAGACCTTTTACTTTCCGAGATATATTTTGAAAGAAAGCGTACTTAACTATTTATTTATTATTAGTGCTTATCTAAGCAAAATTGTTAAATTATAATTTTCATCTTATTAGGCGTTTCACTGATCCAGAGCTTCTTGATAGAGTCCCAAATGTTTTCTTGGTGATGGGTTCAATATTAGCAGCGTTGCAGTTAGTGGCATGCATACTTGTCCGCATGAAACCAATCTCAAAAGAAGTAAGTTTTTCGACTGATTTGCAAAAAAGAACAACTGAATTATTATGCTTATAAATACACTTTTTAAATGAAATTTTTAATTGGATAATGTATTATAAAAAAAGTATTCGAAGAAGCATATTGACTTACTGATTATGTCTATTTTATAGTGTATGGTCAGTTTTTTACGTAAGCTATTTTAAACCCGTATTCCCCACTTGTCATAAGTAATTTCGTCGTTCTTTTAAATCCTTTGAACATTTGTACTAGCCATTTTCTGATGTATCACAATCCAGTGTAGTCTAGGCCTGTTGAGAAATGCTACATTCTCCGAAGAACTATACATTTAGTTACAGTGTACTAAGTAAATTCGGAACAGTGATTTTATGATATCACACTATATGGCCATAGACATTTTACTTCTTTATTTTATTTGCAATAATTGATGAAACTGATGGAAACTGGTTAGGCTAATCACGTCGGTGCAGGTGAAGAGTTTAGGCTGCACGCGTTCGTGATTTCCGAGCTGCAAAAAATAACCATCAAGTGTTACGAAGTCCTCAATATATGTTTATTTAGGTTTGATGATAAATGTAAGAATATTCAGCTTCCGAATCCAAATAATAAATTACATTTTTCCATTGGCTCTCTAGGAATGATGGACATTATTTGAGTAAACTCTTGAAAAATGTTTGTGCCGAAAATATGTAACCAGATTTCAGTGAACAAAATTTTCTTGTCTGCGAAACCTGGAGTGGACAATCCTAACTCTCTACCCTTATGCCTAATCCTGGTAATGCAGTTAAGGGATATTTTGGTTTCTTAGAGTAATAAACATACAGGAGAGGGGAGTCTCTCGGCAAATCTTCTGAAGAGGAAATCAAAAGTTGGATGTCAAACTCATAACCCACTTCGTTATATAGTAAATAATATTGTTGGAGATACTCTGTTATTTTACTCATGTAGAAGTACCTTTCTATGATGGTATCAGGTCAAAGTTATGAAAAAGTTAAGTATCAAAGTTATTTCTGTCAACGTTCACAATATAGTATATCTTAGAAATACATTCCAATATTAACGGAGCATACTACAATACACATACAAAGCGAGAAAATACTTGATTGGAATGAACTAGAAGGTTCACTAGATCTTGAAGACGTCTTGATGTAAAAACGTTCCTCTCTAATTTACGAACATGCATACGAATTCTTAAATAGGTACATTTCCGTTGTGCGTGTTTGAGCGCTGACACGATTCTTTACTACAGCTTTGTTTCTTTACATCTTGAAGTTTTAACTTCTGTTGTAAAAAGTATTTGAGAGCTGTGGGGATATCTACGGTTTAAAATCTTGGACACTCATTTCTAATGTTATTTTTATAAACAGACCATTCAACCTTAAGTAAATTATTCGACACAAAACCTGGGGAAATCGCAAAACTATAGAGTTTTGTTAACCACTAGCAATTCTTTCACTTATGGGATGGACTTTATTCTAAATTGTCGACAAGTGAACTGAGACTTAGTCACTTTAGTACACCGAAAGTGTAGCTTTCTCTGGAAAACCAAAAACCGGGAAGTGAGATATTAATTACTTGATCTCATGCCTCACTGTCACAAATCCTGTAAAACGGCATACTTGTCACTACTTTTTTTATCAGAGCTACAGTTGTGATAAATTAACTTGGATTCTATGGAGGAATTTCTGATATTGGTTTAATGCTTGCCCATATTTCCAGACATTGTTCAAGACGATAGTTATTGGTTACAAACAAATAAGGGTTTCTTGAAAATGTCACAGATATCAAATTCCTTTATTTGAAGGTTCATGGTTAAAATGAGCAATCATTTAAAACTGTTCAGTGATTGCCGTCAACTTTTAGTGGCGTATTGTGTTTGATTATAACGGTGATAAGTTATTAATCTTATATAATTAGTCTTAACCATTAACTCAATATTAAACACTATAGAGGAAAAACGTTAAAACTAGTCTATTTCTTCCGAAAATTTGGGGATCAATGTCTAACCTAACACATTTTATGTGGTGTTCATAATAATCATATATGAACATGTTCAGATCCACAAAAATTAAATGCATCAAAAAATAAATTGTAATAATGTTAGTGATTTAACAGCTACTTCATATATAACTCTGTTTCCATAAAAACGTCTTTTAAGATCAAGAACTCTTAAAATCTTAAAGCAAAATATGGAGTAAGGTAGCTAAGATAATGATGGGTAGATATTTTGTCATATCTTAGACATCTAGCCTCATGAATACATGTAATATCAATCGGAAAATACATTTAATGAAATTAGGGTAGCATATTAGTTGTTCTATGAAAGTTGTAAATTTCTAAGCGACACCGATGAACAAATTTGCTAGTGCGTCTAACCTGGTTAAAAAAGTAGCAAATCATGAGTAATCTATTACATAAGTCTGATAAGTTACGTTATAATATGTATTAGATGACTTGTTCTTTAAGGACAAAGCTAAGTACCGTCTCAGCTTTATTTAAATGATTTCAGATACACGTTTTATAAAATATTGTTTTCTTGATGATGATCCCGGTTTATGCATATTTCATAAAATAAACTTTCATAACTAATAGGTTATACTTAGTACAATATACATCACATTCATGCATATGGATATAATAGTCCCCGTGGCTTAGAGTGCTAACGTTAAATGGTCATCTAACAATTTACGGTATATTTTATTGTTTAGGAAAATGAGGACAGAAATGAAGAAGAAGAAGAAGAACAAGTATTAGAACGTGCAAGAATTGAAAATAGTCCATCTGCAGACTCAAAAAAGAAGAAACTAGTAAATGGTGATTCACAAGTAAGATTATCATTGACGAATCGAATGAATGCGAAATCAGTTAACCCTTTGCTTTTAATAAAATTATTTTTTAATGATATGTATAAACGAGTGTAACATGGTATATTTGAGTTTATCAATCGAAATAATTCGTGATATATATCACACCTACATAGTTACATCTTTGAGGGAAACGTGCGCAATGTTATTACTCAACTAAATATACCATAATTATGCATAAATGAACTGCTTAAAAGCTTTAACAGAATAATGCCTATAACAGAAATATCTGATTCATCTACCTGATAATCCCTTACACTCTTTTACTAGCAAAAACTTCAATCACAACCTGTGAAGTTGTAAACAGGATATGCAAATAAAATACTATCAGTAATACGAATGAACATTCGAAAATATTATAAAAGCATGTAATTTTGTATTTTCATTCTTAAAAGATTTGGTTGATCAATTGTAAAGATCAAAGTGAATATTGATTACAGTTGTAGATGTAAGGTTTCGACTTTATATATATATATATATATATATATATATATATATATATATATATATATATATATATATAAAGTCGAATCTTTGCATAATATAATTCTATTATATTATAAATGAGTTAAATTCCTTAGTCTGATAATCATGATCATAATATGGACTCTTTGTATGTTTTATTATCGGAAGAAGTGGCTTACATTAAGTCACGAAACGTCAGAAAATCTAATTTTTCTACTCATTGAGATATTACAAATATATTATTTATCTTTGTATGTTTGGTTAAAAAATCAACTTCATGTCATTTGGGTTACAAGAATGACAAATGTCAAGTCATACTATGAAAATTGTCTGAACTCTTGAATAATGGAGTTCATTAATCATTTACAGTCATCACGAACTCGTTATATGCCAAAAAATAATGAAACGTTTCATAATCACAGCAGTCAAGTCACAATATTGAAGTAATTGATTTATCTAAATGCTACAATGACATTAGTTTCAAAAAAACTAATATCATTTTAATTTTGATGTTTTTGAAAAACGCCAAACTTTAAAACGTTTAGAAAAATACTTACTCATCGTTATCCAGTTACTTCTTTTTGCTAAGTTTCGTCGTTAAAATGAATTTGTTTTATAACAACTTACCATTTACTTACTCGCTAGTAAACTCAACAAATTCATGACCATTTAACTGTTTGTTCATGTTTTGATTTACTAACCAGATTATCTGAGGACATTTTATTGTTAAGATCTATTGTTTTTGATATAATTCTTCTAAAACTACTCGGATCCTAAAAATATGTAGACAAGTGTTTATTGTTTTTCCCTGTAATCCTGTGTTTTTCTTCTGAAATGACAGGTAAATACTGGTTGTTAATGTACTAATAATTTAATTTCTTTTGCTATGTTTTCTTACTAGTTAAATCGTAACACTGTGGTGGAAGTAAACGTTCAATCTGGAAAGCTATTACGTCATATCGACTACTATCTTTTATTTTTTATGATGCTTCTTAACTGTTTTCCAATATCTGTCCTTACAAGTTCATTAAAGGTGAGCGGTTGATTATCTGAAACTGTATACTAAACCACAACTCAACAAGACATAATTTTGTAACATCTATCACGGACTAATTATAGCTAGACTACCATCGGAGATTAGGGAACATTTGTTTATTATTTCGTAGTAATATAAGACTCATCAGCAACTCTCACGACTATATGAATAGAACCTGAGAGCTTTAGGACTAATGGATCAGGAGTCATTTTCAGACATGTGAGTTGGCATTTAAGTCTCTACATTAAAAAGATAATAAATATCATTATTTAGGTGTGGGAGTATACCAAATATGCTAGTGTTAATGTGAAGTTTTAAAATAATACTTATACTAAGTTTAACTATTTTAATTTCACTTGCTTTACTCTCTTGATTAAATTTAGATCTTTGGACAAACGCATATAAGTGACGATAGATTTTTGTCAACTATTACAGCTGTAACTTCTCTTTTCAACTGTGGTGGACGTGTAGTCTGGGGTGCTATCGTGGATCGTTTTTCTTTCAAGGTGATTTTAAGCTCCATCACTTATCCGTATGAAAACAACTTTTGACGGTTTTCTTCTTGTTTAGCATCCAAAGTGAAAAAATTACGTTTGGTAACTTTATATTTTGTTAACAATTCTTTCATGGAAAAGAAAAAGTAAATGATTAGGAGCGTAATTTTTGTTTTATTCTAAACAAGCGTGTCTTCAAAATTTGCTGTTACTTAGGAAATAGTTTACTCTTTTCTGATGAATAATGAATTCAATTCAAGCATATACTCTATAAATTTGTTAGAAATTTCGATTTTACGCGTATGACATACGCACTGATTAGTTAAATTTGTTTTGTAAAGAATATCTGTATATCCAAGAAAAATTTATTGAAAAATTAAATACAGCTCGATTAAACACTCAGATACAGATTAGTCTTTTTATAGAGATTATATATATATATATATATATATATATATATATATATATATTCCGAAAAATGATTTTAAGATATGTGATGTTATGTAAGTCTGTTTGCTGATCCAATGATGTCAGTTGAACAATCACTAACAATTGATGAAATTTACATACACTGATAGCCTTAAGATCGTCGTTAACACAAGCAAATAGTAAATAAATTATTTTGATTAGAAATAAAGTGATTTTTAATTGTGAATGGGCTAAAATACTAGTTAAATATACTAAGAACATTGCTATTGGAACTTCCTCTATTATGTTGATTTGTAAATTTTAGATACCAATCTGCATACAACTGTGTGTATGGGGTGTATTATTATTTACGTTTCCTGTTATTGCATATGCAACTGGAGTCGCATTGAAAATCTTATATGTTATATGGGCATGTGCCTTGTTTTTCTTCTTGTCTGGTGTTTTTTCCATGATGCCAGCTGCAACAGGGACTATATTTGGACCAGTTAATTTAGCTGTCAACTATGGAATGGTTTATCTCGGATTTGTAAGTTTGATTAACCAACAGTTTACCCATTTAATAATGGTTAAGTTAAAATACTACACCTTTTGTTTTTAATTCTTTGTAAAGACATTTCATCATGTTGGTCAACTTTGAACTGTAAAACTTAACAGTAACACTATTACGTTTTGCTGATACATGATGGCATAACATTTTTGTGGATACGTATTATCTACAACAGTGTGTGTGTTAACAATGTAAAGTGGTTTTACAAAAAAAGTGAATAACATTGGTCATGTACCCAATAAACTGCACTGGTTAATATTAAATTGCTAACCACACATTAAGTTGAGAACGCCCCAGATGAACGTTCAAATACATTGATAGAAAGTCTTTCTAAGACTTATTACTAGTGAATTGACTCGAAACTTAAATGTAATTATCGAGGCACTTATAATTTTGAGGTAAAATAATTTGCAATAACCGACTCAGATATAACGAGTAAATTTATGCAATTTATCACAACATATTTAATTATTCAATTTGTCATTATACACAATACCTATTAAAAACGTAAGCTCAGTTACCACTATTCATGGTTCAAAGTCTAGTCATATCAGATAGATGCAAAGACAGATCATCGATTTTCAGAGAACAGTGATAGAATTCTCAAATAAGAGAGATCCCAATCAGCCGTAACAGTCGAGATACATTTGCCATGCGACCGAAAAACCGTACATTCAATGTTTTTATCAATGTTCATTCTATATTACTATTTCACAAAGCCTACTCAATTTAACCATAAATTGTTTGTGGGTTCTAATACCCATTTATTTTTTTAAACAGAGACCCATAATAATTTGATTTATAAGGAGATCTGTTAACAAAAATTCATCTTAAAAGACAATTAAATTACCATTTATTTATGATCCGTTTGTTTTTATGACATTTTGGTGTTTCAAACAAGTCATTTGGATCAGTACTTTCTCTTGTGGTGAGTCTTTTCTGGAAAGTATCTCCTGAAATCTACTTTACCGTTTCTGGATGTGTATGCTTAGTTAGTAAGTGAGATATTTTGCAATCATAGAAATGTCAAATTTTAAACTTCATGATAATAATACTCAACGAAGCTCAAATCATTAGACCGATCAATAAATCTTCCAAGATTCTGAGTGTTGAAACTTATATAGTCAGATCATTTTGGCCACAAGGTGATATCAGATGGAGAATCATCATAAAATCAGGTTACCTTAGATGTCTAAAACCAGATTGAGGATCTTTAATAGTGCGGCCCCTTAACCTTATGCTTCATTAAACACTGAGTCTTTATTATTTATCATTTAGTGGTCCAAAAGTATCGTAATGGCAAAAGAATCTGGTGATCACGATTTCGATTCCGTGAGTAGTTCATACTGGACGAAACGCTTGTTCGGTGCTGGTTAATTTTTAATGGCTTTTAAGCAACATTTTCACTGGAAAAAATAGTCGTTATTTAACTAGCTTCAACAAAAGATAGAGATTTTCGAGCTCGATTACACATAAAACAGAATTTAATATTTGATTATTTTAAAATTCTTCAGTTAAATCAACTGTTTTATCAATTACTTACTACAATTTAAGTCTTCATAATTAGAATAGTTGATAAGTTCTTTATTTATTAATGATATAAAATAATAAAATGTGATTAAGTGATCAACAGTCAGTAAATTAAATCGATTGATTTATTGCACATGCTGAACGTTAATTAAATGATTGACAATAATGGAAAATAACATCTATGTTTTAATATATCTATGTATTGTACCGTCTCTTTTCATATTTTATATGAGAAAAATGTGAATTACGTAAAAATAAGGTAATTGAAACTAAAATGATTGTATAAGATCAAAAGTGATTAGTCTGGTGATCTGTTTTATTTTACATTAGACAGGATAGTTTTCCTACCATTATTAAGTGATTTTATTATGAAATATGATTGCATCAGTTGGCTGGCTATTCAAATCTGAAATATTTGTTAATTTTTAGGAATTGTGAACATGTTAACTTATTATGAAATTTTACCGCAAACGAATACTGATATCACATTTGTTTATAGTGATCTATGAAACGTGAAAAAGGAAATATTATGTTTAGTGTCTAACATCGGTTGAATACAATCATTAGTTTAACGAAACAAAAGTTCAGAATTATTAAACACTTTCCAAAGTTGTTTCAGTTACTTAATATCATTTGTGAAATATTCTGACTTATTTATTCTTTGTGAATTATACTAAAATACTGTGATAAATTACAGTTTCATAACGTTATTGTTAGTTGAAATCAACATAAATGTATGTACTAACGAATAGTTTCCATGCCATATCTGTAAAAGAAGTTTTTTGTTGAAATTAAATAAAGAACTTAACATCAGATTATCAAACAGGATTTTAGCGCCATTAATTTCTGTTTCTTAATTAGTAGCTAAAATAATATATTTACATATATGGCTATATATCACATATTCTATATATTTTATTTCAGCTCTTGCCTTAGCCATATGGCTTGATGACAGAAGGTTACCTAGACGTCTACGTTTCATGAATTGGTTCTCAAACCAATGTTTATCCAGTCGAGTGTCTAATCAACTAACAGTTAACACAAGTGAAGATTTATGAATTAGACAGAACCAATAAACACTACATGTTTTTAAGACTTATGAAAATGAAACACTCAAAAACCCTGTTTCTTTCTTTGCTTTTATTTATAATAGTTATTTTTAGTGATGATTTTTTTCCTGAAATCATTAGTACACATAATGCAGCAAATAAACAATTACTTTCAGAATTTTTTTTATTCCAATGTACTTTATTCATTTTTGCTGACTATTTTACTCAAAAATATTCGTATATTCAAATCTGGAAATCTTTTTGGGAGGTAAAAGCACTATCAAAATAAAAATGTTTCGTTAATGAATTATCTTGCATTTTATGAGTACTCCCTCCATATTATAACCCTGCATTTCAAGTGTTCAGATCTAAGTACGATATGAACTAAGCTTAGACAGTGATCTTGCGGTGTATGGTACTTAAGTTGACGGATATAAGTAGTATGTAACACCAATCAGAAGTGGAATGCCTGCCAGCAGAAGATTGAGAAGATCGAATCGAAGACAAAAAGAATGAATAAACAAATAAGTTTGTAAGAAACAACTGACGAAAGATGTGCAAATGATATATTTAATGTATGATTTTCATATTTTACGAAGATACTTCGTAATTTTGCATTAAACAATAATTTGATCATCTCCACCTGAGTTCTCGTTCACCACTATCTTAGAACATCATTATAAGACAAGTAGTAACCTTAATTTAACTAGAAGTTTGTATTCGTGCCACAATTTCAAACAATATTCCCAACAAATATGTAACAGTATGAATATTATAATTGCAGAGTAATAAAGGGGAGCATAAATAAAAGTTCGTTTTTTGTGTACAAGAAACGATCATGATGGTAAGGGCAGTCTAATATTTAATTCTTCCCTGAGAATTGAAATGAAAGGTTAAGAATACAGTTTTCTGAAAAAATATCCTCTAAGTAACTTTGATATGACTAATGAAAGATGATAATAGGAAGTCAGAGTCTGACTTAAATTATACTGTTTGATGTTCATATAATCGAAGAAAATTGAAGGTAGTGTAGAGTGTTTCAAAGGATGTTGTGAAGTTAAGTCGTCTGAGTCTCCTTACCCTGATTCTATTCCCTAAAATAATATATGAAATTTTCTGTTGAAAAAGGCAACGACTCAATTTTTGGAATATTGGTAAATGAAACCACACTTATACAAAGTGGTTACCTTATGATTTCTCCAAGAATAACTTTAAATCCATTTAAATGCACCCAACGAAAATAACAGCGAGATGCCAAAAAATATTTGTGTGAATTAACCTTCAATCATTTTTCTATCACCGATAATAGGAGAAATATAAATTTCTATAAAAATTTTAGCATTGATTCGTTGCCCATTTTGTTGTAAACCTAACTTTATTTGGTAGAATATATGACTGGATACACACAATTTCGCAAATCAGATTCAAAGACAAAGTATAATTTGCCATATGTCAAAATAATTTAAACGACTGAGCGATACTGCTATGCAGTAGTCCAATATTTGTGCATTCGTTAGATTTCTCAATTTTATTAGTATTACGACTAAACTAATTTGTGATAATAATTCAAAGAATTTCAAACGTTTGTATATGTATATTTAAAGCAGATATATAGTGTAACAGTTATGCAGTACATAAATATCATTTCTGTTTACATGGAATAGTAACCAATGTTTTCAGAAGGGATTGTAAATAAACTACCATGTGTTATATGAACGATCGTGCAAATTTTGAGGGAGATTCATGCTTTAACGAACACTTAATTAATACTAATGATTTAAGGATATAGTAGAAAATGTTTTAGCATAAATTAATGTTAGGGATTGAAGTCTATATGTTTTTTCTTTCATCAGCCCGTCTGGATAGTTATATTTGTCGATAATAATAGTTCTACAGATGAACATATATCTTACATTATCTTTTTCTGAAAGTCACCTTTTACATCTTTTAAATAACACAGATCATATTTCTACATCATAAACTTAATAGCCACTGGTATCGAATGTAATGAAAATTAAAATATGACACCGTGAATTTCTAACTTTAAACATTTAATTTTGAAATAATCACTTTGCTCTCAACAATCCTGTCGAGATTTGTTGCGGTGAGATGTTAAATATGTTTTAACTGAGTTAAGAACAAGCATATGGAACATTGATGGCTATAAACAAGATAACCTAAAAATATGATCAGCTCATTCTGTCTAAAAATGATCTGTTTTTTAAATCATATGATATATATTTTAAAATTTTCTGCTGAAAAAAAGGTGTAAAACATTAAAGCAGTCTACTGTGTGAAGTTTTATTTGACGTAGGTTTTGGCAATTTAACAATACATACAATCATTGTAACACATTGGGAATAAAAATAAACGTAATAATCAAATATTATCTCCCATATAGGCTAATACTTTCATATGTAGAGACATTTGATGATAGTTTTTACACCGAAACATTAATAATTTTCTTTCGGTACAAGCTTTTAAATTTGTATGTTATTCTAATGAAATGCCTTCAGAAAAATACTTTGCGACCGCATATAACATGGAATTAGTTTATTTTTGATATCATCTCTTGTGTCAATCGGCATAGAAAAATGGAAACTGATTAATTTCTAAAAATTTCTTATATTCAGTTATTATTATTATCTACTACTGGAATAGTGATCATGTGAACTCAGTATTTGATTTGTCTTATTTATGATATAGTCAGCTAATTCTTATATTATTTCTAGTATTCAACATGGACAGCTTGTAACTAATTTACCATTTGACAAGTTAATAAACAATAAGAAAAAACGCTCTGTTTTACATTGATTTTGTGGTCCCAATGGCTTTAATCTCATTGTCATTATTCTATCCAGAATGACATACAATCAACCGCTAAATAAATCTCATCTGTGTCGAACCAAACATGTTGATATTATTTCAAGTCTACAATTAACATAATGTAGACCATGTTGTCTTCGAGAGAGATAATACAGGGAGTTTCGTACAGAAATTTTCGTAAGCAGATAGAATACTACTTACTAAAAATTTATCAATTGTATAAGTTATTCTGTTTTTATTTAATATTTTCCATCATAATGAGCTTTTATTTGCCTTATTCAATATTCATAGCTCAAATGAAACTATGTTAAATTAGACTTATGTCATTCATCAAGGTTAACTTTATAAAGCACAGGTTTTCCTTGTACTTTGTCTATTGTAATATCCCATTTCGACACCTAATGAGTGAACATTTTGTCACATATAGCTGACAAAGTACTGTAAGTGTTCGTTCTATCTCCAGGTGTTAACGTATAGTTAAATATCGTTCAATAGACGGATTGTACAGAAGGCTTTTAAGGTCATACTGAATTAGTAAATCGTATAACCGATAAAATCTATTTGAGTATAGATCATTTATAGATTATAACCCAGTAATTCATCCAACTCATCGCCCTCAGCAGAAAGTTGATCACACCATATTTTGGACAATCAAAAAAGATGACAAAGGTTATCAGAACTATGTGATTTTTTAGCGCAATACATTTGAAACAATTATGTCACACATTCTTGTTAAGGACGTTTATTTGTGAAAAATAAAAGGTCAACTAGACAAATGGGATGTAAGAGGAAAGGAAGATAAGAGACAAAATAAAGCAGGAAACAATTTGAAGCCCACCATGGTGAATATTAAATCAATATTACTAGGGTAGGTCATATTTAACCTACCTAAGTGGTCATGTCACTGATCATATGTATATTGAGACTTAGAGGATCCCCTCTATCATTTGATTGTAACATTCTAAAAAGCGTTTACTTATTTTGCTATGCTTTTGGGATTTCATTCAAACTGCATAGATGATTAGAAAACCTTGATTTGTGAATAAATTTTGTCAATGTTTCCACCATTAAGATTTTTAAAAAAAAGTCGTACATCTTTTAATATTGATCGTAAAACGCTGTTTAAGTTTATGCTTTCACTGTCCCAATACAGCTAGTTACTTGACTCACTCGTACAAATACACCGTGCTTCTCAAATACCCAGTAATTCTTAATTACACTTCCGATTGTTTACCCTATCACAATTAATTATATTGTTCATCTTTCACTTGGATTTTTCCATACAAATTCTACATCTCTGGGATGTCAGCTTGATATTATTACAATTGGTACTATCTAGTTAAAGTACTAAATCTGTGAATCTTTTGGTCCCCATCAAGGCTTACAATTTCAGCACTATCGCTTAATCACTCTTTGTGACTATTTAGAATTTATTTAAATGCTAACTTCTAATATATGCCTACGTGTCATAATATTTGTGAAAGCATTTTACTACTTGGACGTGTTTAGTTTATCAAAAGATACTGACTAATAGAGACTACACAATTGTTAATATCTGATTTAAGTACTGATTATGTCGTTGTTCGAAATTCCTTATCACCACCTAAAAATATATATGCGATAATAGCTAATTGAATTTCCCTTAAAGTTATCTGTTAATAAAATAAAGACATATAACACTTACTTTTATAGTACCAAAGTTTGTTTGTATTGCATTATAAATGAAATACTTATGGTAATTTTTTGTGAAAACTGTGTTCACTGGTCAAGGTAACTAACTCTCAGTAACTAGGGGTGTGATTTCAGTCAATTTCTACACAAAACTAGTTAGTTGAGTGGTGTCGTTAACATTTTCATAGCATAGTGAGCGCTTAGCATAACTGTTTCTATACGCAGTGAGCTTGAATGCCGATAAATTCGTTCTTTCACATGGAATAAATCTTTGAGAAACGCCGTTACTCGCTGGTACTAAACATTTCATCAAGACTATTACACAAAAAAGGAAATAATTACGCTTTAATCTTCTTAAAATAGAATAAAAGTCTTCTCTAAACCTCACTGAACGATGACGTAATGGAAAAGTTTGTTGTAAACTGGTGTGAAGTTAATTTATAGAAAAACACCCGTACAAACCACATAATCGGGCTACTTAACCAAAAGGTGATTGCATTTAACCGATTGAAAATGGTTAATAATAAAGTGTGCATATACATCAGACTTTTATAATAATAGGTAACAATTCATCTGTAAAATGAAATATTACCAGAAGTGTTTGCATTTTGTGATGTAACATTTTATTGTAAATGAATACCCTTAAGTATACGTTATATACAGAAATACCAGGAAATGCGACTTCCATTTTCAGATCTTTTATTAATTTCCATAGAAGCGTGTTAATAGGGGTTCTTCTTGTTTGTGTTGGTGAGTAAACATGTTATGCAATGT